ATCACGGATAGCACAGCATCTTGGGCGTCTTTCATTTGCTTGCCTGACACTTCATTGTAGGGTGTCAGTGACTCGATCTTCCGCCAGTTGGCTACACGAAACAAACAGGGCACAGCCGGTTAGTACAACATAGATGAGTACACAAACGATAGGTGTCACTTTATTGCTGGACTCAATGACTCACCATAGTTCTTTTGCGTTGGGGTTGATCTGCTCGTTGGCCGTCCTTGTAGCTGCAGTGCGTCGGCCACTCTTAGGCGTATGTCCTGTAGGCTTGCCATCTGGACTAAACAAAAACTTCCAATGGCTTCTCAGTGTCTCTTTGCCAATGGCTAACTTTGCCTTGATCCAGTATTGGTTGCACTCCATCCACTTCTCATTGGGTTTCAGAAAGAACCTCTGCGTCTCTGGGGGACCCATATCAGGGTTTGCATCAATCTTGTCAATGTACCTTTTCAACAGGTGGTACGCGTCTCGGGAAGGATTTACGTTGCTTTGGGCATCAAGTGCCTTGTCTGCGGTGCTTCTCCTTTGTCTTTCATTCCCCCCTGATAGTTCTTCATGGGCAACTTGGCGGTGATGAAGTCAATGCTCGGCAGTATTTTGTTGTCGTTGATAACCACTGTGCTGAACTCCAAGCATGCTCTGGTGCAATGCAGGTAGTCTTGCGTCCGGACACCAAAGCCCAAGCTAAAACCGAGGTAAGCCCCTTCCAGGTACCCCTGTGGGTTGGCGCCGACACGTCCGCACGCATATGCCGTTTCCACATCTTGGGGTGTGATCACACTTGCGACCTTTCCATTGGTTTCAGTCCCTTGGACTTTCGTGCGATCTTTGCCGTACTGATCCAGCGTATTGTACACTTGGCCATAATGTGGGTGGGACCGGTCCTTCAACACAATGCGATCGTAGCATAGCAATTGCTTTTGCACCTGGTCTGGCAGTGACTCGCCTCGTTTCAGGTGTCCGAGCTGCTGGGTGAGTGCGGACTCCAATCTCTCTATTCTATTGATCATCGTCTTGAGTGCTGCAAAGCATCCGTCCTTGGTTTTGTGCTCCTTAACCCACGCAGACACCCTTGCAGCAAACACCTTTGGCACTAGTATGGAGCACAGCGCTTCCTCCCCATCGTAGCAATCTGCAAACATAAGTCCAAATTGACTTGATCTTGACTTGACCTTGCTGCGCATCTGGGTACAGAGCTCTCGAAACTGGCGAAGGTGTCTCTTGTTTGCAGCTTCTGTGTGCGCAGAATGTCTGACACCTTGTTGTGCATTCAGTGCGGCCATGAAGGCTTCGTTCTCTTCGTCATCTACATCCTCGTCGTTCTGATGGAGGCCGTCGTCGACCATAGGTGGGTTATGCTTGGCAGACTGTTCCAATGCCTGTCTTAACGCGTTGTCGTCGGCCTCGATAGCGCGCTCATTCTCCGCCTGCTCCACAGCTTGCATCAGGGCTCTGTCGTCAGCCATAGCTTCTGCCAGTGCATTGTTGTCAACACCAATCGGCTGCGCATGTGCCTGCGCATACACTTGCTGTTGCGCCTGCTGCTGCACCTGCGCCTGTGCCTGCTGCTGCTCCTGCGCTTGCTGCTGCACCTGCGCCTGCACTTGTTCAAGATCGTTGGCAGCTTGTGCGAGTGCAGTATTGTCAGCCTGCGCCTGTTCCGCCTCCTCGCATGCTTGGGTCAGTGCCAGATATTCGCATTCCGAGTCGGTTCCATCGTTGCGATCCAACTGTCCGGCGAGCCAAGCCTGGCTTCGCAGCGGTTGGGAGGGCAGATAGTAGCCTAGATCATTGTTCTCGCCTGCTTCTTCGCAGTGCAGGGCTTGGTCCCATTTGCGCTGCGTCCACTGGACCCAGTCGCCACCCATGTTGCTGGCTGCGTTGGTGTGTTCTGCAGGTCAACGGCGCGAACAGGCTGACCTCGATCGCAGGTAGCGGTGGTTCACTGGCGCGGCAAAACGTGTTTTGGCGGGAGGCGACGTTGGCGGACGCTGCAGCGATGGCGTGCTGGCCCCCACCCCCCTTCCGCGGTCTGACCCATGATCGCGTGGACCACGATCGCTGGAAAAGGACGGATGATGTAGCGGGCAGGCGGGGGCGGCAGGGCGGGTGATGTAGGGGGGGGCCGGGAAAGGGCGGATGATGTAGCGGGCGGGAGGTGGGGGGGGGCGGGAAAGGGCGGATGATGTAGCGGGCAGGAGGGGGGGGCGCGGGGGAAGGCGGGTGATGTAGTGGGCAGGCGAGGGGGGAGCGGGGAAAGGGCGGACGATGTACCGGACAGCCGTTGTAGAGGGCGAAATGTAACGAACTTGCAGTGAAGAGCTAATGTACTAGCAGGCGGGGGCCAGGGCGAGTTGACACGTTGCGGAGACGGTGTCCCATCCGCACATTTCCGCGCGTGCGGCGCAGAAAGTCGATAGGTCACGTTCCAGCGACCGCCATCCGTCGCGCACGGGCCCCCAGCTGGCAATTCTTTCAGCGGGATCTACTGGTCTGCAGATTGCCGGCCACCTGGCGGCTGGCCCTGTGGCCGCCAGTCGACTTTAATGATGCCGCCTCCACCCTGTCCCCTGCACTGTTCCGCCTGCACCGTCCCGCCCCCCTCCCCACCCCCCTTGGCCCCCGCCGCGCTCGTCGCCCGTCGCGCGCTCCTCGGCGCTTGACGCCGACCGGACCCGACGGCGATGAGCCCCGCCTTGTTCGCATCCCGCCAGGGGCCATCCTGCGGCCCCATGCTGTCCGACAGCCCGCGCTCAAGCGTGGCCGCGCCGTTCCTGCCGGCGCGGCCCGCCATTGCCGGTCGGATCGCCCACCGCGGGGTGGGCTGCCCGCTGATGCAGCGCCAGGGGCAGCGCCTGGCCGTGGCGACGGTGGAGCCGTCGACGGCCAGCCCCGAGGAGGCGCAGAGGCTTAAGGACCTGGCGATGGAGACCGGGTACCTAAAGATCGGCCGGGAGTTCCCCAAGGGCGTGACCCTGTCCGACATCGTGAAGACGCTACCAGAGGAGGTCATGAAGCTGGACCACGGCAAGGCGTGGCGCGCCGTGGCCCTGACCTCGGCGGCCGTGGCCGGATCCATGGGGCTGATTGCGATCGCGCCGTGGTACCTGCTGCCCTTTGCGTGGTTCCTGGCGGGGACCGCGGCGACGGGCATGTTCGTCATCGGACACGACTGCGGTCACAGGTCGTTCCACGAGAACAAGGTGGTGGAGGACGTCGTGGGGACGGTCATGATGATGCCCCTGATATATCCCTTCGAGCCCTGGCGGATCAAGCACAACGCCCACCATGCGCACACCAACAAGCTGGAGGAGGACACGGCGTGGCACCCGATCCGCCCGGGCCAGTTTGAGGCGGCACCGAAGACGTTCCAGTGGGCCTTGCGCCTCTTCCTGGGCTCCCCCCTGAAGTGCTTCACGTCCATCGCGCACTGGGCCATGTGGCATTTCGACATCAACCTGTACACCGAGAAGCAGAGGCCAAGGGTGCTGATCAGCTGGGCGGCGGTGGCGGCCTTCGTTGCCTTCGGCTTCCCTGCGATCATCGCCAACCTTGGCTTGGGGGGCTTTGTCAAGTTCTGGCTCGTGCCCTGGCTGGGCTACCATTTCTGGATGAGCACCTTCACAGTGGTGCACCACACAGCGCCGCACATACCCTTCAAGGACGCCAAGGACTGGAACGCGGCCGAGTCGCAGCTGGCGGGCTCCGTGCACTGCAACTACCCTGGGTGGGTGGACACGCTCACCCATGACATAGCCTGGCACGTGCCGCACCACGTCTGTGCCAAGATCCCTTGGTACAACCTCAGGGCAGCAACGGAGTCCTTGAGGGAGAACTGGGGAGAGTACATGACCGAGTGCAACTTCAACTGGAAGATGATGAAGACGATCTTCACCGAGCTACACATATATGACAAGGAGAAGAACTACATCCCAATGGACCATGCAAAGCCAGAGAAATTCTTTACCGCGCAGAGGAAAATCCTCCCGGACAGTGTTTAGGCTTTCAGGGAGGTACCTCTGGAGCGAAATTGGTTGTGCTTGGCAGGATAGCCAAGTAGTGTTAGGTCTAGGGGTGGGTTTGTGGACTCGTGGTTAGGAGAAGATTGATGAGTAGTTCTTCGGGATTGTTTTTGCGGATGTCTGACATATCTTCCTGTGCTGTCGAATTGAGAATGGCCTCTGTTGGGATCACTGTAGGGTGCACTGTAATATGGTCGCTTCGCACATCATCTACAAAGGGACTATTCTTGTGAACTGGTCCCCTTGAGCCACTGGAGTATTGGTGTGGACCAGCAGGACTTGGGCCCAACATATCTCTTTTGCAAGGTTAATTGTGCTCTGGATGCATGTGAGAAATTTGGGCCCCCGTCACCTCACTGTTGGGGGTGTTATCCCACCTTTGGTTGTGCAGCGAAACGATCCAGCCTGTGGGTGCGTCAATGCTCACAGGGAGTTCGCACGAGTTACTGGCATGAGGTATTGGTGGGCACGGGTGTGGTTGCCCCAGTCTTCAACTATCCAAGGCATGCCTTGAGTGTGGCCGTGAATGTGCCGATGGTACCCGGTGCGCGTGTTGAGCCTGATGCCCCATCTTTCAACTCGTCGTCGCCAGATGTAAGAGCCCATCGCAATCAGACAGGCGGGGAGGTGATGCCCAGCCGATCCAGCTTTGTCACCAGTGGTAAAGTTTATGCTTCGGCTCCCAAGAATTTGCTGAATGCTCGCAGGAAGCATCCCCGTTGGTTTGAATACACGATGTAGCAGCAGAACGCCACAGAAAGCCCCGTACCAATCCCGTCATGAGGTTCCGATGCAGCCAAATTCTGTCAAATTCGCAGGACTCGGCACACTGTTTGGATCTTTCTGCAGCCATGGCGATGTGTTTGGGCCCTAGATCGCGAAGAAGTCCGTGGACGAGGCAAGGGACGGTTGCACAAAAGGTTTGAGCCTCCAAGGTGAGCAGCGCTCCATCAGTGGCAGAATGTTGTGTTGTGTCCTCTATCGAGCTGGCCATCGTCAGCAGGCCGTCCAACACATGTCGTTAGGAACCAAGCCACAAAAGTTTGCCAAGTTGCGTCCCGCTGGGCTAGTTGGCCCTGTCCAACTTTCTGGATGGGAAATGATTTACTGAACCCGAAATCATGGCCACTCCGTCCTCCGCCGAGTCACATTTTTGGTTCTGAAACCTGTTCAGCAACCAAAGCAGCTGCACTCGCGACAGAGATTCAGCACGGGTCATTGCTGCTGCACGAATATTTTTTGGGGCAGTACGTCCCTAATCGCGATCCCTGGGCACTACCGGAATTGCCTGGCCGTAATAATTCTGGCGAGGTGTAATGTGATCCACCATAATCCGGCGTACAGGTACAGAAACGTGCCCGGCATGTCCAACCTGTGGCCGCACTGCGGGCCCCAGGGCCATCCCCCTTTCACGCGCCCCTCACCGCTCAACGGCGGGCTGGGACAGAAGGCGGTCCGCGGTTGCCCCCGCGCCAAACCTGCGCACTCGAGTGGAGTCGCACCCGCCGCCCAAAGATCCCTTTGCTGGATTGACAGGGCGCAATGCCGCCCGTCAACGGCAAATGCCTGCCATCAGACTGCCCATCGACATTCCCTTTGCATGTGGCAGCTTCTCAGGAGTGCTCCCTCCTGCGGGTGCGGCTGGGAAGCTGGCCGAGAGATTCAGGGAGGCGACGGCGTGGGCGGACGGCCATGGGCCTGGGCGACGTGCTCGGCGGGGCTGGGGACCTGGCGCAAATGGTCCCTTTGTCTGGCGTGGACCTCTCGGCAGTTTCCGAGTTCGCAAACACGGCAATGGAGCTGCTGCCTGAGCCTTTGCGGCCCCTTGTGTCCGTTCTGGTTGATGACGTCATGGGCGTCGTCAGCCTCCGACCAACCTCCGTGCAGATTGGGCGCCTTGGGGTACGCTGTTGTGTCTTTTTCACTTTGCAGTCAACTCAGTGGGGAGCAATTTGGGCATTACTCCGGGATTGTCCTTCGTGGCCTGTTTCATGTCGCAGTCCAGACCTCAGATTGAACCTGTCCCAATTGCGATGTGCTGTCCCTGCTGTTGATCTTGGACTGTGCAATGGCGCATGCCATCAGGAGGTCATCTGTTGTCGACCATTACGCCAGCACTCTCCTTGCGACAACACTACGTAGTAGCTGAGCAGTCTCTAATGATTTTGCTGGCGTTCTTGCATTGGATCATTGAATGAGGCAATTGATGCCTGCTGACTTGCGAAAATGTACTCTTCTCTGCAGTTAATATACTACCTCTTGTTCACCACACCTGGTCCTCTTAGCGGCATCATAGATTACTACATACTTGGGCCGTTGGGGAAATTGCTGCAGAAAAGATGGAAATCTGAAGATTTCATTGTTCGAGACAGGTAGGTGTTGGGTTGAAGGCACAACCAAAAGTGTTTTGTACACTTTCACCACATGGGGCCTTTGGGTTGTTGCAAGGAAGTGACACACAAAAACATGAAGTATAACATGATGTGAAATAGAATATGATGTGTGCAAAATACATTGTCAAAGAACCACAGCTGCATCCTGCAGTCTGTTGTTGACGATACCCCTGTGAATAATGTGCATCTGTATCCAAGAAAGAATGATGATACCCAATGTTTGTGTGCATGGCCCACTGCTCGATGTTGAACAATCTGAATAGGTTATGAATAATCTGTCTGCAGGCTTGGTGGAGGAAATTACGGCACAACGTTTGAAGCCATTATGACAAAGGTAGCGTAACAGCAGGAGACAAATTGGCCTTATGTTTTTCTTATGGTAATACATATGCATGTCCATGTCTCTGAGAACTCAGAGCTGCATACTTGGGGGCCTAATGGAATTCTTATGATTATACCTTACAATGATTGTAGCTTTGCATTGGCAAGTGGACTTTTCTGCATTTGCTGTCACTTTTTTGCAGTCTCCATCAGAGCTATCATCTTTATGAGAGGCATTTTGTAATGCAAATTGTGAGCAGTTTGTGAATTATGTACAAAATCCTATCCAGTTTGCCATGCCAGGAAGGAAGTTTGCACGTACCTTCGGCTGCTGGTGCTACTGCTGATGGTTATGAGTTTGGTTTTGTGAATGGGATGCAGAGAAGCTTGCTTTTGCTATTACTAGTCCCCTATGGGTGTCATACGAGTTGGAAGGGCAGCAACAGACTGCAAAACAGCACAAGCAAATCTTATTCCTCCACTGTGAGGTGTATCAATTGCCAGACACAATGCACATGTGCGCATATGGCACTACCACGTTACTTTCTGTTGGCTGGAGCGCTTTTCCCCACCACACTAGGCCTTGAATTGAACATACCAACCTTCATAATTCTGTGTGACTGTGCTCATACTTCAGCAAATGTGAGCTGCGGACTGCAAACTGCTGTTGGAGTCTGATGGAGAGGCTCTCCACCCCAGTTGGCAATAGAAGGCTGCTATGGTTGAGTTATGTTGACGTGGAGAGAATCTAGATTGTGTGGAAATTCCTGGTTGTCTGCCTGAGAAATGATTCGCTCTCCAAGACACATTGAAGAGAAGTCTGAGCAGATGTGTGACTGGGTCTGTGTAGAAATCTGGGGAATCAGTTGGAGCAGAGTTGACACCTGAACAGAAGAAACGGAGAGTCGTCCTGAAGAAGGTCAACATGGATTCTAATGAAATTAGGTGATTATCGCATTGGGCTGTTCTACCTTTCTGCCTTCACTGCCAGTGGCATGGACATCAACTGCCTACATATCTGTCGGTAAAAATGAATAACAGTGCACTGTGCCGACTGTAGATGCAAGAGAATTTAGATCCTGTGGTGGACCCAAATGTGACGAATGTTGATGTGCTGATTAGGGGCAATTTTCTTGGTGGTGGAACAATGGCAAGAGGTGCAGGTGAAACTGGGCAGGCCGAAGCATACATGTACGCTAAGATTGGAAGAAATTTATTGGTGAAGCCATGGTGTGCAAATTACAAAGGTGTATTTTTTGCAGGTGAGGCGTGTGCAAGTTGCTATAGCTCTGTCACCTTCTGCTCCAAGGCTTTGTGTACCCACAAGCTCTCCTGTTTTGCTGCATTGGCTTTCAAAGTACAAATGTACCTGAGGGGGTGGTTATAATCTGGGAACCAACATTCTTGTCCAATTTTTAAGGCTATCCTCATGCTTAGACTTGCAGGGGTTACTCATCTCATTTCATCGGGGTATATAAGCACATTGCTCTTTCTTGCTTTGCCTGCATTGGCATCTTCCTGTGCTGGAAGAAGGACACTTTGACTGCTTTCATTCAACATGCTCGTTGCATGTTTTTCTCCCATATCTGTGCTGTGGTTCTTGACTGCTGTTTGCAGTCATCGTACAACAGAAACTCGTTTCCATTCTGTTACATTCTGTCTGGCTTAGTTGGTTCTTGTCAAGGTTAGGTCACTCTGCTGATATGCTGCATGTAAGAGGCCCGATTACGACCACAATCCCATGCACCCACCACCACTGTGCAAGTTCACCACACAAGCCCCCTGTCGGTGTGCCGATGACCAAGAACATAGTGGTGTGCTGTTTCTTGCAGACAGGGTTTACAGATTGTTGTGCTGTGCAGAACAGTCAGATGGTGGGTTTATTGCAGGATCGCAGTGGTTGGTTTGGGACTTCGAGAGTGATGCCACCCTATCAGATGTCGTTGAGGGGCCACTTCAGAACTTCCCAGCTTGTGTTCAGGAGTTTGTTCTCAGAAATGGTGCAAACATGCCACAGCAGGAAAGGGATTCAAAGGTACCCTCTTAGATATATGTTGAGTGGAATGGGAATGCAAAATTCGCAACAGTGTTTCTTGCGGGTGTGCTGCGATTGAGAGCCTCTCTTGCATAGCATTCATTGTTCTTTCATTCTCATATCACCTGTTCTGAAAGAGGTGCACTGTCACTTGGGTGCTCGTTGCACATCAACAATGAATGGGGGCTCCTATCGGTCTGGCTGCAGCGCAGATGGCCAGACAGTTGCCCATGTGGGTGACCGATGCCTAGTGTGTTGGCACAGGGTTATCTTGTTGTGCTCAATCCTGAACTGCGTGGAATGACCACTGGTTTCATGCTATGGATTAGCAAGAGCAGAGGCTTGAGCTGCTGCAGCACTGACTGATCACAGGCTATAGTTCTGAAGAAACGCTTCAGGTCTCAATGCTTGACAACTGGGCATGCACAGGTCATCAAGAGGATCATGAAGAGAATCTTGACTGGTTTGAAGCAGCTCCATTCTATGGGCTTGGTGCATCGTGACATCAAGCCTGCGAATCTCCTTGTTACAGCATCAGGGGAGATCAAAATGATCGACTTTGGTGCTGCAGTGGATATGTGCACGGGTGTGAACTTTAACCCACAGGTCGGCATGATGGATCCAAGATACTCGCCACCTGAGGAGGTCGTTCTCCCAAGAAGTGAGCAGCACAGTGCCTGCTACTATTGCAATAGAGTGATGACATCTAAACGACGTACAGATGTTTGCTTCACTGCTTGGAGGGCTGTGTTGTCTTCACTGTGACACAAGTTACTCTGAAATGCTCATTGTACACCTCTGCCTCATGCGCAGGCCACAGTTGTGCATCTCAGCAACTTCACAAGCACTTCAGCCGCAGGTTATGGCAAGCTCTTGCGACACAACTTGAGTCATGTGTCTGAAGTGATGAATCTTGTGTTTGCCCACCCACCTCCAACTGTTTCATTTCATATCTAGCTTGGAGTATTATTTGATATGCTTCCTCAAATAGGCCTGTTCGTGTGTGCAATCAATTGCTTCTTGGAGCCACTGCTCATGTGTGTATGTATGACACATACAAAGTGTTGATTAGGCACAGGGATTGTCCCCTGCAGTCCTGGGGAATGTGGCTAGCAGTACAGTAGACATATTTTGTTTGGGGCTGCTATCATATTCTCTGAAGAGAGTTTCTCGTTGCTCAAATGCGCTGAACGTGTTGAAGTGCATGTTGGCAACCACTACAAGCACATCCCCGCCGACTTGATGTTGCTGATGTGCTGCCATGCTATCCTGTAGCACGTGGTGTTACTCATATTTGCACTCGTTTCTTTTGTGTGTTTTGCACTGCTGTCGAATCTATTGGCTAGTGCCCTGAAAGGTGCAGTTCAGGCACTGTCAATTGTAGAGATATGCACAGTGTGGTCCAGAAGTAGTTTGTGCACCCGTCGCCTCTATGACATGTACAGTTGGCCGTTGTCAGTTGAATCAGGTCCATACTGCAGTTTCTCTTCGGTTCTGATCACATCCTGGTGCTTGTAGGCTTCCCCAGTGTGCAGCCTCCGTTGCTGGCGGCACTTTTATCTCCGCTTGTGTGGTGGATTGGTCGCCCAGATCTCTTTGACACTTACAGGTCGGTTTTCGCATAGTCAATTTCCCTTTCTACCTGATTAGGTCTCTCAGGACAGCCCTGTCGTTCTTTTATTCCTGTTAAAACTGGTCTATGGGAAATGTACAGCACACCAGGCCAGGGAGGAGAATTACTGCATTTCTTTCATTGGGATGCTTCTGGGGCAGTATTTCCTGCATAGAATAGCAAACGATGACAATAAAACTGCACCATATTCTCTTTTCTATATAATGCCAGAATTGCTGGGGTTCTCAGCGGAAAGAATTCAGGTGGCTACTGAGGTTCCATGGTCACAGCGGTGACCACGTTAGAATACGGTGGGACTGCTTGCCCAACTTCGCTTGTGCAGCAATTGTGGATACTGTGCTGCCAAGGTTGTATCCAGTGGTTTGTTCTGTGACTGACACCCTTTGGACAGAACCGAGATTTTGTGACATTACAACCTGAAATCAGCCTGTGTATCTGCTGCAGTGCTGGGATGATTCTTGTACAAATGGCCATTCCTGAACTGCGACCAATGCGCACCCAGAGGCTTTTTGTTCAGTAAGTCAAGATGTCCTGACACCGCCAAGCGTTCAGTCCGCAAAGTGCACAATCCGCTGATCAGCTCATGAGTGGTACCATGCACCAGCTCACGAATGATTACTGTGAGGGCGAGGGAACGATTGCAATGTTATATGTGATATATGGCTTTTTATGGTGGGAAGTGAATGTGTGAATATGGCGTTATGGTGAATGTACATGGGGACAATGGAGTTAGGTAGAGAACATTATTGCAGTGACTGGTATTTAGACTGATACGCTAATTCTGTAATGCATCTGGTTATGGCCTTGCTTCCCGTGCCTGGGAGCGACCGTGTGCGAGCGCGGAAGTGTTCTGTCAACTCGATAATTACAATTATGAGTGGTAATTGACGTTTGAGATCCTGGACTTGCATGCGATTGGGCATTAGCACTGTCCATGGCGCCACTAGGGAGGGTTTGCATTTCTGTATTTTTTGTCATATCTGCTCAATTTTCCTGCCTAGCTGACGTTAAGTCACTAGACTTCCCTTGAAGATTCCCTTTCATGTCCGTGCATTTCCTGTTAGATATACCCACGACGCGATGGGGACAACAGTGCGAAGCAGTGCTTCTTTGCGGCGTGCCAGCCAATGCATGTTGCTTGAAATCGGTACCATACAATAGGTGCCGTGGCACGCGGGCTACACAACCAATAGTGCACGTTTCGCTCTTGTCCCTGGCCTTTGCTGACACGTCTATCCTTTTTTGTCCTGCTGTTTCCTTTTGTTCTTTTTTGTCCTTTTTTCCCTTTTTGTCCTTTTTTTCCCCTTTTTCTGTCCTTTCTGTCCTTTTCCTTTTTTTTGTCTTTTTGTTTCTTTTTGCCCTTTTTCGTCCCTTTTAATCCGAAAAGTAACTCTAAAACTTTCATTTCCTACAGGGAGCTTGAGGAGTACTTTGATGACCTGAGGAAATGGAGAGCGGAGTCTCCAAGAGGCAAGACCGCAGATTTTTCTCTATTGGACATGAACAATGGCGCAGGGTGGGATCTTGCCTGCAAATTGGTTCGCAGGCGGAATGGGTTCATGCGGTAAATGCACTCCTCTGACTGCTGAAGACAGTCGCAATTGCGAAGCCTTGAATTGCTGCAGCTGTTGTTGGTCCTTAAGACAGGAGGCAATCGCGAACTACACCAGAAGAGTTGGGCGAAATTGCCATTAGGACGTGAATGGCTGTTGTTTGGCGGTCTGTGCGAGTACCATGGACACTGGACGATGCAATTATAACATTTGCCATACTGTGCGAATGACTTTTGCTCTCTGTAGGTTGGACTTAGCCTACTTCCATTCAGACTGGAAAGCGACACCCGCGAACATGGCAGGCAGATTCCACATGGGCAATAATTTCCAAAGATTCTCTTTTTACTGTTGTGTGTCTGTGTCCAAGGGGAAGACTATCTGCTGCTGAGGCGCTTAGACACCCGTACTTTCTTGGTTTCTTTTAGGTGATGCTGTGCAGGAACCTCACGGCGCATTCCACTAAACCAGTACAGATATTACATGATGGAAGTCTGTACCGGCAGTGTTGGTGACATCACCGTGTGGCTCACATTCTGGCTCATCCGAAGGAGGATGCGGATTTCGAGTGTATTGCATCATTCTTGGAACTGACTCAACATTATTCTTGGTCGAGAAACTGCGGCGCTGAGGTGAATGCTGCCATGTGGGCAGGTTGCAATAGGTCCCATACCTGACCACTTGAAACCTTTGTCAGTACGCCCCAGAAGGATGACGGGGAAAGGACTCCGTCGAAGCATGGTGGTTCCGATGTGATTATTTCTAATTTGCAGCTGTGCGGAGAATGGATGTAGGCAGTTCTCTTTGCTTTTGCAAGTCCACTACCGAATCACGTGCAACGTCATAATGGTTGTTTGGAATTGCTGTGCCATTGATTCTTTCAGGCACTCGACATGCGTGGGTTCGATTGTCCCCTTTCGCCAATAGATTTACCCACGGTCGCCACGGACTGCCATTCCTCGGCACGTCTGGGTGGTGGCGAATTTATCTGGAACTGCCAAGCCACAGCCAGAACATCGAGCCATGTGGTCCTCAGGACAAATCCGGAGGACGCAGCTCAATACACCACCAGCGTCTTAGTGTTGCCTGGGAAAGCCTCCACCCCGTTTCAAGAGGAGGATGCGCCATCGCACGTCATTTTTTCGTGTCTCCATCGAAAATCCAAGCACGTGGAATGGAATAAATGGTTTCATCCGGAAAAAGATGATCAAATACTGATCGCATATTGAATTGGCGGAAGGCTGAAAGGAGGGTTGCCCGGTGCTTTCCAGCAAAATTCCCTGGGGCCACATGGGAAAGGTGCAAAGTCGCAATGGAGACGAACGGTCGCGGCATTTGTAGTAGCAGGCGATTGGGAGTTATCGAGCATCTGTCCAGAATGCGATCACAGTCCAAGAACGAGATTAATTCCATTCGGACGTGTGCTACGATCCTTTATGTAGATGTGGTGGGCACTCCATGGATGGAAAGCAAGGTTGTTGGCCAAAGGTGCTGCTACCAATACAGCAACAGCCTGTCGTTGTCTGAAATGTTTTGTCCTACTCTGTGGGCTAAAAAAAAACAAAGGTGTACATGCAATTGTGCATATTCCAATTTGGCTCTTTTCTGTCCTGTGCAACAAACGCTACATGGGAACTGACGAGTGGCTTCGTCCTGACCAGCGTGTTTATCCCGACGATAAAAGGGTTGGGCTTTGGCAATTTCCTGATTTCCTGATTTTCTGGACTGAAACGAGTATCTTATTGGAAGCAACGGACATGGAAAAGTATGCTGAAAATGCTCGACAATATTACTACACAGGACGCAGAAATTTTGGGTATGAAATAGTGTCTTCTATTGGGTGAGCTTTGTGACCAAAAACGATTGAGCAAACTGTAATGAAATGAAGCACATCAACAATTCGACGTATCTAGTGAACGGACTTTGAATGGATGAAGTGGGAACCCACAAAGTGCAGAACATCGAGCCGAAGGCCCGGCTTCTGCACCGGTTCGAAATATGGTTGCGCGGTGTGCTATGGTGCCTAATACGGTAATCGGACCCCCCGTACAAGACCTGCAACGGTTGTCTATTGCAGCTGTGGCGACCGGTGTTCCTCTCACCACCTGCACGAAGAATGGACCGTCGAGAAGTGGTGCTGGTGCGCAAAGGCGATGGCCCCTGTGCGAGCGCAACGCAGCCCTTTCGAATTGGGCGTTGCACGATGCGCCGTCACTGCGGCGCGAGCTTGCTTGGACGAGAGAGGCGCAACAACAGATGACGTGCATGGATGTGATCGCTGTGGTCTCGCAGGTCACGGGCTGCTCGAGTGGGCTGGGGCGCGCCCTCGCGGTGGCCCTGCACGAGTTCACCACGCCAGATGGGTCCAACCCGTACAAGGTGTTTGCGAGCGCACGGAAGCCCGCCGACATTGACAGCCTCAAGGAGACGGGCGTTGATGCAGTGCAGCTGGACGTCACTGACGCCGGCTCCGTTGCGGCCGCCGTGTCCAGTATCCGGCAGAAGGCAGGGAGAATTGACGTGGTGGTGAACAACGCCGGGATCCTTTCCGCTGGACCACTGGTGGAGAGCAGGTGAGTGGCAGACGAGAGGTGTCCCGGTGCAGTCCGTGTTGATGTCGCTCAATTCCGAAGAAAGGCATTCGCGCTGCCCTTCCACCCTTTGGGATGCGTCCTGCGGAGATTCCTGGCACAAATATTTGCGTTGAATGACGGGCTGGCACGGAATGCGCCGGCCAATGCACGGCGGAGATCTCCAGCCAATGCGAATGACAGAAACCGGCACGCATGGGGGGAACATGGTGGAATTGCTAGCAGGTTGGAGCCATCCTTGAATGGTGGAATTTGCTACGGCGGGATTGAGGATAAGAATGCAGTGCGGGACAATATGTCAGTCCCCTCTTTCCTGGGTGGCATTGCCAGAATCGGAAGCGGAATTTCATTGCTGGCTTCTTCAACACATGGTGCAAGAAATTCTAGAGGCGGGGAGTTGGTGGCAGTGCGATGGACAGCGCGCCAACCTTTCGACAGAATTCTACTCAAGCCACCACACAGGCACCCAGATCTACAGACAAATATCCAACATTGTGTGGCATCGCTCGTATATCGATCGATGTATTCATATCGGCATTTTCACTAATGCATTGCCAGTCTGCGTTCCACCTGCTGTATCGAAATTCCCCTCAATGGACTTTCTCCTGAGCACTTCCCAAGCAGGACTCCAGTTGTACAATGGGAACGCCCTGTTTGACGAAAATTGGTGCACTTGTGCGATTTCGTACAGTTTTGTGTCAGGGCTCCTGCTATAGTGCGGGAGCGGGATAGCAGGGATTGAGATTCCCTGATGTTCTTGGATTGATGCTCAATACAGCAACATCTGTATTTCCAAAACTGTGCGGATCCACAGCAGCATCTGCTGTACTTTGGCACAGGTAGTCACAGGAGCAAAAGCACAGTGGGGAATGCATTTTGTATATGTGAAACAGTACCTAGCACGAGCTTGCAGCTGCAAATGCTTTGTCATTCTTGGACAACTTAGCGACTGGGGATTGGAAAGCATCACATCCAGCATTGTTTCTTCACCCTGTCTCTAAGCCCTCATTATTTTCAGATGCCAAGTTCATTCCTGGGCATAGAACACGCCCACAGGCAACTAAAGATGGACAATTCCACCCATGGCAATAAATGCCGCACATGCGGACAGGATTTTGTGTATGGCAGCAGCTTCCGAGAATCGCAAGTGGACATTCTGGTCTACGGTTGCATGTGCAGATTGCCACTATTACAGTACAGCAGACTTCAGCTGTTCCTCGCATTCCCAAAAATGTTCCTCAGACAATGGCCCAGCCCAGAGCACCTGCAGAGAAATGCCGAACTGTACACATTCCATTGATTTCGTTTTGTCCAAAGATGAAGAAGTACCTTCAGGCAATGCCCAGAGCAAGTTCACAGGCAAGGATGGTCCAAGATGGTTGTTTTCCCCATACAGACTATGGTACAGAATTAATCGATTGAAGTTGCAGCTGTGCTGTGAAGCATGCAAAACCTGGAAAGGGCAATGGACACAAATCTGCTGGGAGCAATGCGTGTCATTCAAGCAGTAGTCCCTGAGATGATGGAGAGGAGGAAGGGAATGATCGTCAACATTGGAAGTGTTGCTGGACACCTTGTCACCCCTTTTGCTGCCATGTACCATGCCTCGAAGGCGGCCCTGTTGGCCATCAGCGAATCTCTCAAGATGGAACTATCACCTTGGGATATCAAGGTTGGTCGGTGATGTCACATTGTAGTAATGGCCCTCTGCAAGTCAGGACAGCATGCATTCTGTTGGCATTTGGGGACATCCGTGCATCTGACACCTGAACCTATGGTTATTTGTCAGTTTCGGCGTACTCATGGCCATGCTGATTTGTGCCATCACAATGGGGAAAGAAATTGTGTGTGTATGGCTGTTGTGCATTATGTGCATGTGTGCAGTGTTGATTTCTGAACATACTGAGCAGCCATCCCTTCAGAGTGTTCTACCTATTTGATGTTGCTTGTTGCAACAGTCATCCAGGTGCCTTGACCCTTCCATTTCTGAGAGCTCTGAATGCTCAGTGTGACCATACTCTTGAGTAGCTTTCTCAAGAGTGGTATGAGCTGACGAGCACCTGCTGGGGCGAGGACGTACTGCCCCCATCTTTTGATGGTTGCAGCAGGGTTGCTACTTCCCAGCTCTGTGGACGGCAATGGCGTCCCTTGTTCAGGCTCTAACGGGTGCTGTATCACCAGGTCATGTTGGTGGAGGCCGGGGCCTTCAAGAGCGCCCTCAGCGAGAATTCTGCAGATGCAGTCCAGACATACTCATCGAAAGAGTCACTTTACAGTCCCATTGCCGAAAGCATACGAGATAGGGTGTTCATGTCGCAAAGGGATCCCAAGGTGATGTCAGTTGATGCAGTTGCACAGCAAATAATAGCAGCAATGAGGAGGAAAAATACGCCTTGGAGGGTACCTGTAGCGGGCAACTATTGCAAGTTCATGTTCTGGGCGTTTCTGCAAAAGTGGGTTGCTCCTGGCATAGTAGACGGACTACTTCAGAACAAATTTGGACTGACAAAGTTGGGGCAAATCATAATGGGAGAGTCATCACAGACCACTCAGGGCTCCAAGTCCGAATGAGGACATTGGAGGAATGAAAAGCATTGATTAGAGGAAGTCGACGTGGAGACGAGCCTGGCAGCATGGTTGTCCAGGCTTGGAGTGTGCTGTTTGAAGCAGAAAACTTGTGGATCAAGAAAACTGTTGATATGTAGTCTGCATTGTATCCATGTTGTGGGCAGCACTTCGGAAGATGGGAAAGTGGCCACGCCCCTTCCCTGAACACTGGCGACAGAAACTGCCCATGCGCCAGCAGAATATGGGCTTCATTGTGGAAGCAAGGGTAGTCTGACCCCTTGAGGGCTGTGACCAAACTGAAGATGTTGGGCAGGTGCCCGGACTGGCTGAATTTGCCAAATGGAATGTCCGTTGGAGTGCACAGTGCCTCCATCTGGGTTTTCATGTTGTCTTCTTCTGTTGTCTGTGCTGCTGCAAAAGGCAGTGAGTTATATGACTGCGTGTTTTGGGTGCATATGTTGTGTGCCACCCAGAAGCTCAAAGTTCAGCAATCACAGCGGAAGGGCTGTCAAAATAGTCGACCAGCCTTCTTTTAATGGCAGCAATCCCAGAACCGCCATTCCGGGGGTCACCTTTGCTACGATGGCCAGGCCCTTCCCAAAAATCTCTGGCGCCCAACAACTGGCGCAAGCCAGCACATGTGTGTCACAGTGCGGCACAGCTGCATGCGTTTGCTCATGCAGTCGCGGCCCCAAGCAGGTGGCCTGTTTCTGCTGGCAGCAGCCCTGCAGCTAAGTCTGCCTCGCAGCGTTCCAGCAATTGGCACTGGAAGGTCAGCGTGGCCCGCAACTCCATCACTGCACCAAGTCAATTTCGAAAACTCTCATAAGCTTTGCTCCACCCACAACACAGATATTCAAGAGTCTTTCGATTGCCCGATATGCCTTCCAACCACTCAGACTGCTGGATGCCCTGGCTCCATCCAGCCAGCCCGGAAGCCAGTGCCATTGCAGTTCTTGCATTTCACCAAACCCTAAGCAAGGCAACAACAAAATGGCCATCTCAGTCAAATCAACGAGCTGCAAGCTACCATCGCTGTCACTGCCACCGCCTCAAAGATGTGCCGCAATCACTGCTGTACTGTGGCAATGGACTCGAATTGTTGTCTTGAACAACCTGCTTGCAAGCATGCAGCTTGCTGCCGCAGTCAGACAACGCCTCCCCAAGGTCACTGCACGACCAGGTATGGAGTGCTAGTGATTTGCTTGTGAACAAACCCACAGGACATGGCTTCTGCCATGTGTTACTACATTAATGTCCAGGTCGCACAAGTGCTTGCGGTTCCATATTGCAACAAGCCATCGGCAGCAAACCCATAGACATACAACAAGACGCTGAGAGGTCTTCAGTGTCTTTGAACTGAAAACAGCTTCCGAATCCCAGCAACAAAGATCACAACACCAGGGACAGTCCTGTGAAATAGGCCACAGGCAAAGGAAATGTCAAATAGAGATGACACTGTCACTACTTTCTGATACCACTTTCATGAAAACTCAGACACTTGACATTTAATACAGATCCAGCGATGCCGATGCGGAGGGCCTTACCGTCCCATTGCAAACTACACATTTCTCACAGCCAGCCATGGAACAGTACACAACGTCACCAAGGGTCATAACACCTGTTGCACAGCACGTCCAATTCAGATGCCACAAGTTCGTTCCTAGCTGTGCTGTAGGGAAGTACCGTGTCGACGACATGCACATAATTCTGGGCGCAGTCTTGGTCTTTGCGCCCTTGACCGTTGATAGCTCAATTCATTGCCAAAGCAAACTGCAGAAGGAAATCTGAGGACCAGTTGGAGGTGTCAAGCAGATGTCTATGCACGCAGTGGGCGGGATATGGGCCCCCTGCCACTGTTCCATTTTCGCTCCTTGCAAGCCTTGTCTTGTTCTTTCTCTATGTAAAGGATGGTGCAATCCATTGATCGTGGTATACAGTTGTGGACCTGGTGGACCCAACCATTGGAGTGCTGGGTGGGCCTTCACTGTGTATCGCACCCAACGTTCGGTGGGCTGTGTGCATATTCTAAAAATGGTGATCGGCGACTGCCAGCCTAAAAGCTGCCAATTTGGATATGCATCAGTATTCCGTCGCCGCTCGCAGGATGCCTCTTTGAGCACTTTCTTCCCGTTTGCTTTCCTGGCAGTCCCACTGCTTTTTCAGGGTCGCCAAGCGCTGCTCACTGCCCAACATGCCTCCCATGCCAAGATCAGCACACGACGTCGCGATTCGACAGGCCTCGCGCACCGCGGTGCGCCCCACGACCCACCTGTCCCATGACAAAAGGGGCACTCGGCTTCGCCCGTCTGTTGGCAGCATTCGCACGCCGCAGGCTTCCTCATCTTCAACACACACACGCGGGCGCCGCAGGGCGAGTCAGCGACTCACTCGCCCGGTGCGGCAGCCCGGCCGGCCACCGCAGCGCCGTCCATCCCGATCACACTCACTTGCGAGACGCGCCACATCAGTTCCAGGCGCCTGGAGAAGCGCTCCGCCCGCTTGGGGTCCGCATGCCGGAGCAACTCCTCCGAGAACGAGGGGTCCAGATCGTCTTCGGAGTCGTAGCTGCGGTCAAGGGGCGAGACGCTCTGCCTGCGCACCACCCTCCTGCGCCTGAGCCCGCCGCCTCGGCGCTCTGTGCGCGCGCAGCTCCCGAACTTCACGGCGTTCACGAAGCCGGGCGCTTCAAAGGTGCAGCAGGGGGCGCTGGGCCTTGCGAACGGCGACGGAATCACGAGCATGGTTCTTGGCGCATGTGGTCCAGGCGGTGCCTTAACACCACGCGGGCTGCGTGACGAAGTGCCAGGTGAGCATTCAGCTGAGTCCAATCGGTGCCAGGAGGCGCCACTGTGGGACCTTCCTGTTGGCCGCAAAAGCCGGCGTGCGGAAAAGGTCACCAAAAAGCACGGCTTTGGTGCACGTGTTCTATTGACGTTCTGATGCTGCATTAATGAATGGCAAACAGTTTGTTTTCCGCATCTTTTGGCGCCAAAACCGTGCACCAGACAGCGCACTTCTCATCTGTGTTGAGCCTTGTACATGCGAAGGGCAGCCGCTGACGGCGTTTCCAGTTGGCAATGCCCAGTATGTGTGCGGTGCTCTCATTGGCTGAAAGACTCACAAGTACGGCACTGCGTGTAGTCCTTTGCAACTTCATACGTGAGAGGGGGCGATTGCACAACGTGTTTCTTCCCCCACGTGATTCATTGCAGAGCAGCTGGTAGTGACATACTGTAATATGCATCAATTCTCACTTTAGGCTGGTAACAGCAGATCATTGATGCAAATCATTGATCGTGAGGGTTACTGGTAATTAGCTTTCGCCTGGTGCCTCGACAATCAAAATCTGCCAAACTAAGTTGCGCTGGGCCCGTGGGCGTCGCTGCTGCCATGATACACTGGGTGCAAGGTACTGAGAGCCTGACAATTTGGGCATCACTTCCCATGACTTCAGGTTGTGGAAAGAGAAACCTCCATATATGCTGTTATCTTGTTCCTCTTTTCTTTTCTGTTTTCCTCCACAATTGGTGGATTGGAAATTGGTCCATCAATCTTTCCTTCAACGTACCAATCGACCCAGCATGGTCCATAAATATCTTTGCATTCGGCTCTTATCCTATCAAATCTACAAGCAATTACCCTTTTTATTGGAAACTGCCCTAGTGGCATACCAGTGCCATTCCATGCAGTAGGCTCATCGGTAATGGTGTGCATTTAGACCACTCCATTGCCAACTTTGAGTCGATTAACTCATGTTTCTGGTACGCTGTTATCAAGTACCATGTGGTGCTGTGCATATCAACTCAGGCAGGGGACACGTCGAGCCACGCACCAAAAGCAGCAAAGAGGGAGAGTTTCAGTAGTGGTGACTGGGGTGGAGGCCATTAGAGCAACCCCTGCAAAATCATGAAGAGATCCCACTCGCATTGATTGAAGGGCACAGCATGAATCCAAGGGCACAGCATGAATCCACAGCAAAAGCCCAAAACCACAACAAAGTCAAGCAATCCTCCCCTCTTACACCACCGACCAATGTATGACACAGCCTGGAGCATACATGACCCAACAGACACACATTCAGTTTAGAAGCTGTGCCTAAGAAATCCATTTCATTGAGGCCCAACATCCAGGCCAGGATCTCATGAACTAGACCATCAAGTGGGACAGCACCTCTCCAAGTTTAGCCTCTTCGTTGATGAGCATCACTCTACAAACATCTCACTGTTCACCTGAAAAGTCGATTCCTCTGTGTTCCAATCATATTGGCATCGTTCTCCTGTCAAGAGTCTCCCATCCCTTAAATGCAAAGGGCAACATCAGGGGCCTTTCCCAATACAGGGTCAATCCATCACATTGGGGTTGCGGCATTCAGCATGTATCGCATCAATGGCTTGGAGGGTCTCCACATCCAAATTCACCTGGAAGGCTTCGATGTCTTCTTTGAGCTGCTCCATTTTTGTTGCCCCTATGATGCAGCTCCCTAAGTATGGTCGGCTCTTCACCCAGGACAGTGCAAGCTGTACAGTAGTCAGCCCCCTTTTACCGGCCAGGTCAGCGTACTTTTTGGTTGCTGCCAACGATGGTTCACCGTGATATCGGGCCTGAAGTGCTGCAAATAGAAATTCGCACACACAAAGGGGCATGGAAATCAGCAAAACATCCTTGTGTGCACAGCAGCACAATACTCAATATAAAGGGATTGAAAAACAAGCATATGAGATTGTGCTGCTGCCGTTGATGTACGCAACTGATTGCAGTTGTGACAACGCATGCATCAACTGAGGTCAAGGTGCACTAAGTGGCAGTCTCCATGCTTTGGCTTGGGGTTGTTTGAGTAATACACCACGTACAACCCGCATGATATGCAGAAGTGTCTCCTTGACAGGAATTCAGTGTTGGAGATTCCCTATGGTGGTTCTGGTCATCGTGCATTGCCTGCCCTACCATGCCCTAGGATTGGCCCTGCCAAGCATCCTGGTCTGCATTGGGTACCAGTGAGTTGCCACAACAACAAACGTGGAAAGCATCGCGCTTGTCACCAATGAAAATAGCATGAGAACAAGAGGACCTAGGGGCACCAGTCCACACATTGTGACAAAGACTCCCACTAAGCGCGACTCAGCAAACAACAAATCACCACAGCACCCAAACGATGGCAGGTTGCAAGCTGTGCCAGTGAGTTTCAATGCAAGCACATATACAATTTTCAATGCATAACTCCTGCTGGGTGCAGATGATATGTGCCATCAACAACAAATTGTGCATTCTTGCCTGGAAAGAGTGTGTGCCTGGAGTCGTAAGTGCCCTGTCCCTGGTACTTTCCCGAAAGTGTTCCCCCAGCCAATGGTCCATATGCAAGAAGCCTGCACAAAACGAGCAGCATCTTTTTCAGCTACCCTTACTGTGCCAGCAATAACAACGAATTCTGTGATAGAAATGAGGTTCACCCTAAGCTCCAGACTGCTTTATGAAATTTGCAGTGTTCAACAAGATACCCATGTCCAGGAAGCAGCTTACCCTATGTTGTAGTGCCTCCTTGAGCAAGCCTCAGCCAGCTCCATTTCAAAGCGCCGATCAAGGAGGGAAAAATCATTCTGGATTGAGACAGGCTGTGGCAGGCCCATGCGGCGAGCGACTTCACAGAACTTGCAGACCCCTGCAGGCCATTGCAGTAAAACTTCAGGCAAGCACCACAGCTGTCCAACCTTTGCTTTCACTTGCTGTCCTCTGCCAAAAACAAAATGCAGAGAATGACATGCCCAGTGTCTGAAAAGTTCCTGGTTCTTTAGGCAGCCCTATGTCTGGCAAGCACAGCATGATCAAAGCACAGGAGAGTTGCCCACACCAAGCAGGAACAGGCTGCTGGTGCTTTGTACCAAATGTTGTCTCATTGCTGAGGCCCCAGTGCCTGATTTTTCCCTCTTTGATCAGCTCCCCCATTGTTCGGACTTGCTCCTCGAATGATATGTAGTCCCGCTCCATGGACTGGATGCAAACAAGAGCCAGCTGTCAAGTTTCGCACTCATGCACACCCTTCTAGAAATAAGACCTACCAATGCAATTGCAAGGCCATTACCTCATGGTACTGCGCCAAACCGAAGATGGGGACATACCGATCAGGCCTGGCAAGTCAAAGCCATCGCATCAGTACCAAACATCCAATGTGCCAATCGCTTAGATGCCTGCATTGTCTCATAATGCCCTAAGGAGTACCCAGGGCAAATATCCCCATCGGCATTTATTGATCAGCATCCACTCACACCTCTAGAAATCAAAGCAGTCCCAATGATGCACAGGTGTCAGGCCCAGAATGCAGCCAAGAAGTTCCAACACGAGTTCATGAAACGTGTAAAAGTGAGTAACACTGATTCTCCATCTGCAAGCTCAAATTCAGACTGGGCAAGATAGCCAAGGAGATATCCTGCATGCACTATACCAGTGAATCTGATAGAGGTCGATGCAGTCTGTCTTCAAGCGCCTCAGACTAGCTTCCAGAGCACAGCGGATGCTCTTCGCATCAGTGCGTCCTTGTTGAGCAGTGCCAAGCTTTGGGACATGCCTGGGAGGCACAAATTTGGCTTGCAGAGAACAGTGAAACATTGGCAAATGCGTGACTCCCATTTGAGATGCATTTCAAATTAAAAGTGCACTTGCAGCTAAGCCACAGCTCGCAACGATTCAGTGCCATTTCCCTTCAAGCGCGGCACCTTTACACAGGCTGCCGAAATTTGAGATTGCTCTGCTCCACATCTGACTACAATAGTCACGACTTTGTGAACAGAGACACAACCTCAAGACTTGGTTTCCACACCTGTTTGCTACAACACAGCTTCTGTCAGCAGCAATAGGACCCCCCAACACTTTGGTTGCCAGGATGATCTGCAACACATGTATTGATGGCGTCAGACGCAGGCACAAGCAATCGGAATTTTGGAAACAGTTTTGTGGTCCACCATGGAGCTCCACATGTCGCACACAGCTCAAGGCAGTTCTCAGGACATTGCTGCCACCTGGTGCACCTCCCTGCTGGATTATAGGCCACGAAGTACCTCAGTGAGCAGGACATTCTTATTTCGCAATTCCTTCATCTTGCACTGAACAGCACCTGCCTCGTTCCTGTTGTTCCTGGCTTGCATCCAATTCCCAACAATTGCCTCCGTGGCTCCACACGTATCAGGCCCACAAGGCACTGGGTACCTAGTATACAGAGCCCAGAGTCCATTGATCAACGGCAGACAGGACTGGAAGCTCTTCTGTGCATTTGAGGACGACACGCAAGTAGCACAGTCTGAGTGCAGGCAAAGGGGCCGTCGCCAGATTGTAGGCCTACATTTCGGCCGTATCCACGAAATTGATGCCCTGCGCCAGGGCGTAATCCAGCTGTTCGAACGCCTCTTGCTCCGTGTTTTGCACACCATAGGTCATGGTGCCCAGGCACGCGACGCTGACATGGAGGTCGCTGCTTCCCAGTTTCACGCGCTCCATTCCTGAAAACGGCGCGTCCAAACAAAGCAAGGTGCCACGCGACGGTTGCGGAATTCTCTCAGCCCAAGGGCGCTGCGTATGTATTGAAATTCGGCCAAGTCTTGGTACCGTTCCGCACATACACTCGCTCGACATTGACCAAATTGAGTACTGATGAACCGGCCCCAATGGGCATGAATGGCGACACACAATTGGGTACAGTTGACTTAGCAGCGACACAATCTTCATCCTAAACGGGCGAAGGGAAATCACGACGATGTACCTTCCTAAGCTTGACGTGATCAGGCCAGTGTTCCCAGTAGCATAAGGGAAACGAATTCTGTAGACATTCCAACCAATCTCTTTCGGGACTTTCTTTGAACAGTTTCGCTCCCGTGTTCTCATTTTCAGAAGGTCGTAAAAAATTCCGAAATTCTCAAGCCGATTGTGTCCACTCCGCAATCTAATCCTGAAAATTATAATTGTCATATACTTTTATGTGGGCACTGCTTTTCCCAGGGCAATAGGCAGCCGACGATCGCTTGATCTGTGCGACTGGCCTGTGCAGGAGCAATGGCGGCATCCGGACAAACCTGAGCAACAATGGCGAGTATTGGCTATCTTCAATGGGAGTTGGTCAATAAGTCAATCGATGGCATGTCAAGGGACAGCCCCACACGACATCAACTGAGACGTTTGGGGATCCTCCTAGCTCGAAAACTCAAAAGCGATTTGCAAACAAAGCGGGGGCAGTGTGGCCTCTTCTTAGCTTATGACAAATTTGTGGCAATTGCGGTATTTGTTGGCATCGCAGGTCTGGAACCCCACAACCCAAAACGTCAAGTTGCCATTAACGTGACAAATCTGGGACAACGCCACCTGTTACAGCGATACGAAGCATAGAGCGCACTGGTACCCTGGGTTGCTGAAGAGCGAATAGCGATCGCTATGCAAGATGGGTCGAGCAGAACAAGATGACCAGGTGATGGCATGCACATACACATGGCCACCCATTTCGCCCATATGGAATTCCAGGTGGTCAGAACTGGGTGCAGCCTCTGGATGTGGCAGGAATCATATCACATGGTACCAGTGAGCACGTCGAAGACAACCCAGCGCTGCCGACTCGTTGTGAACTATCTGCAGAAAACAATCTTGCAATTGAATGTTCGTGAAAATTCCAGCCTGTACTCCGTGCAGATCTGCACTTAAAGCCAGATAAGGTTCTTGTGGGTTCTACACATGATGTCAATAGGCAAAGCATCAATGACATCGGTAAGCAATCTATGGCTAGGAGCAACGCCTTGCATATGGCTGGAAACCATGTGCATGGAGGTCTTCTACAGCACAATATCTCCACTTTTACACATCACTGTACAGAGCAATCAAGTGACTTCAACACTTCCAGAGTCCTTACAAACAATCCAAACGACTGCATGCATGTGCAGGTGCAGGTGCAGCCATGCACACAAGTCCGCCCTTGCCAACAATGATGCTGCCATAATGTCCGCAGCACTAGCCCAGATCGGGCAAGAGGGTGGGGCTGGGGCGCTGCTTGCATCCTGTCAGTGAGTGTAGCAGCATAAATGGTGTGATGATGCACAAAACGGTTTTTTGTGTGGCTTCCACCAGAGGGGCACTACAGAAATCCTTCGAGCTGCAGATAGTCCAATGCGTAATAAGCTGTCACAATAGATGGTGGAAGCATGTTGCCACTTCGTGCAAGTGCCTTGACCTCCGCAATGTCCATCTTCAGCACCTTTGCAATAAGAGCAGAAAGCGATGCATTTGCATAGTGCATACCACAGTGGGGTGCAGCAAGAAGCATGGTCGACTTGCAGCCAATGCATTGGGACGCTGTGTGCAAGATCCTGGTACAGACAGTGCTGGAGGCCGAACAATGACTTCAAGGTGTCACCATGAACGAAGCGCAGTGCATTGTGAATTGAAGATGCCAGGTTTGAGTATTTAGCTTTGTTGCCTTTGCCTTTGGCAAATACAGTCTTTCTTAGGCAGCCCACTTGGAGTAGTTTCTGTGCAGACGACAAGCACTGTCATGGGGAGGTCAACACAGGCCCTCAAGAAGGTACATCGAAACCATTAATGAGCAGCAGCAACCACAAGGCAAAACATGAACAATTTTTTTAACTTATGAAAGTTTTGGAAGTTCTTGTCAGTCACTCCCCAAGCCAATATTGGGGTCTTCTGCTCTACCCCAAGATCTGCTGTCTTCAAGTATTCTCATTTCACAACCTGTTGCATCAGTTCAAGCATCACCTCGATGTGCTCCTCATCATCCCGGGGCCCTGGGCACTCGTCCACCTACCGAATCCATCAAATTGGTCAGCTCTTCATAGCCATGCATGCCTTGAGGCACAACTGTTGCTCAATTGTTAGAACAACTCAAATACAGATATAGAACCACGCACTTTCTCCACAACAATGTGCTGACAGCTGCACCTGTGTCAAACCCACCTGTGGATCTATCACCACAAAAGGTGTGAACCTGTTGACACACCACTTGACCTCGGGCACGCCAGGGTGTTGAGCATCTAGCAGTGGTATGAGGCGCCCACCCTTCAGCTGTGCCTGCAGGGAACTCACGTTTCGGACCGTAGTCCACTACATATATGGTAATGGACACATGGCATCACCTGCCGTCACTGGCAGCAAGCTGGAACTGATAAACGTCAACAAAGAATAACATACTGTCAAGGAGTGTATGAGCATGTCACTCTTGTCAGCTGACTGTGCACTGCTTGTTGGGAACTTAACACTTTCTTCAGAGCTGTGTTGTTGTATCACAGTTGAACGAAATTCCAGCATATGCCATCGTTCATTCAAGCATACTGCCGCACCTCCTCTGACAGCTCCTGCCACGCACAGTCGCCCTTGGTTGCGTGCTTTGCAGGGTCATAACCCCCTGCTGGGAAGCTGTATACCAAGCTGTGGAGGCCCTGGCTGTATTCCCTCAGTACTGTCACCTGGCAACATTCGACAGAGTAAAGTTGAAAAGGAACAGCTACCAGCGCAGGGGAAAAGCACACAGTACGCACACCAGCAACCTTCCCTTGTGCTGTGACAGGATGTGTGCAAATGCATAACAAAATGCAGTACATAGGCAATCTGTCCGCTGACATGCTGGTGGTTTGCATTTTCCTCTGGTATTGCATCGAGTCAGGTGCTAACAAGAAACCTGGGTGGTTGGCAATTTAATCCTTGTGTGTTGCTTCCACTCCAAAACATCACATAACAGGCCTGTTCAGGTGCTGCGATGTGCTAATGGACGAGAAGCCCATCTTCTGCCACCAGACAGGAAGTGCAAGGCGATGCACGGGCAAAGGATTGATCGTACAAAAATCAATGCACTGTTGCACAGAAGCTTGACACTTGTGAGTTATTGGGAGTTCATGGTGAGTCTGTGCACCAAGGTAAATCTCTCCTTTGCATGGGAAGGCCATGTTGTGGGCAAGGTCAAAAATCTCACGTCAAGTGTTCTCACAACTCCAACAGGGCAAACCATCCTTTTCACTCAGTGGACACAACAACGATCCTACACACCTTCCCACCCCTGCCATTCCCATTAGAGTGGAATGGAAATACAACACAGAAATGGGGGTACCTGCTCGCCACCACATCGTACTCATGCACCGTCTCCTGCAAAAAATAACCCATTTGTATTCAGCAACTGGGATGGTCACATCCTTGGCACACCCAACTGGTCTCAGAAATGTCATCCGGCGCCACTCGTCGTGCGGCAGCCTCACAGAAACCTCGTCCCAGACGGCAAGGGCTGCAGTCTCGCGATTGAAAGAGAAGGTAGCGAGTTTGTGGTGATGACCGTGGCCGATCAATCTTGCTGGGGGTTTCACACCGTTCACCTGTCCGTTTGCAGCTGGCGGGTATTTCACTCGTCGGTTGATGAGCGTCAAGTAGCGCGAATGCAGAGTGTCCTCCCCGGCAATGACGAAACCCGCGTCTTCCGCCCTGCCTTCGCAGGACAAAGCCACATCGTGGTATCTGGGACGTCTGGGCTTCCTAATGGACAACACTGACCCCATACAGGGCGCTAGATTCTGGGCTGCGGGCACACCGTAGATTTTCAAGCACGGGACGGGGGACACAGAGTTTTGTAAGAGTTCAACCTCCATGTTTCTCGACGACGCCAACAGTGCACATCGCCAAGCAGCGGTCGCGTATCCAATCCGCCCAGGGCACTCCCTGTAAGATGCCACGCTGAATGAATAAAAAAAGTTACGGATTCAATGAATTGTGGTGGACGCCTCCTTCGTGTAGTCAGGCTGCGGGATTCAGCCAGGCGTCCGCTGCACTGCACTCACCTGCGGACCCAGGATCGGCCTTGTTCGCCGCCGCCGGGGTCATGGCTCCCGCAGAGCGCTTGCCGCAGCACAACAACCGGTGCCACAGGCAGGTCTGCGGCTGTACTAACAGGGGCGTCGGCACTGGCCAGCACCGCAGGCAACAGAATCCAGGGGCCAGTCTCCGAGCCTTTGCGTTTGTTGCGTCGTTGAAAGGGAAGGAGGATTTTGGCGCCAGATACACACCAGCGAAGAACACGTCATCATGATGTGCTGCAACGGGCCCAGAGGGGGGACCATGCAAAGTTGGACAATCCGTTGCCTGGACAGTGCCTGGGCTGTACCTGCTTGATATAAGGCGGGGCCGATGCTAAAGATTCCACAGAATGTTCTGAGCGTAGTATGACCCAATAGCAGTCCGGGGCATTGATAAAGTATAAGAATTGACGAATTGAACCTCGGGAGGCCGCCTCAACCACATCCGTGCTTCTGCATCAGGTATTTAAGCCAGTTCTTTGAGGCTCTTCAGACAGACATTATCCGTTATTCGTTAGTTCCTAAATGTTATCAAACCAGCATACCCCAACCACCCATTGTCTGGTTGTTCAACACAGAAAACTTGGAGGGTGTGTCATTCATTTATCAAATTCACACAAATTCAGGTGTATTCATTAGTCCATGGGTATCACAAGTTGTGATTCACAGCCAGCTACAGTACAGGCGTTCTGCCATTGCCTTTGTACCGTCTACGTCCCGATGGTGAAGCCCCAAATTTTTGTAGAGCACAGCCGCGATCTTTGGAGCCTGGCTGCTGGCGGGTTTCGCTCTTTTCAGCGTTCGCCTTTCCTTAAATGTCATCCCTTTGCCGCTCATTCTGGGCCAGTGCTAAAAACCTGTTTGGACATCAGCACGCCAGCGCCCTTTGCTCTCACAGCGTTTGCGTGTCGCAGCCTAAATATACTGCTACCCATTTCATATCTTCTGACACATGTCCTGTCATGCAGTTGGTAGCCAATGTCAATCGTACGCAATTTTTTTTAAGCTCGTTCGGCACATGACCAAATTCGGCTTAACACCTGGTGAACTTTCTGGCGCCTATATACTTGGCTTCTGGGAGTCCGATAACCGATTGGTGAGCCTACAAACAGCCACGAGTGTCATCATGGTAGTCAATGCAACCGTCCATATTACAATGACAATTCTGTCTTTCTTCCAACCAGTGCATGCACACCAAACCGCGAGCAATGTCCCGAATCCTGCATTCGATCTCCAGGTTTCGCCGTCCATCACACTGCCAAAACATTCCACTTGAAGCGAACTTCTCCAGAGGCACAAACCCAGTACCTCCTTTGATGATTTTTCCTTCGATCTAGTTGTCTTTCATTGAGTTGTCAACAGATCTTCATTCATACCACTGTTTCTACAGATTTGGCGCCTAGATGCAATGCTTGTCCCACAGAAATCTTCAGTTCTTCTCTGAATAAATGAAATATTTTACCCGCTAACGTGGTGCTCTTTCAGTACCTGGCAAATGCACAGAGACTATGCTCAGAGACACAACAATTCTGTCACACGATGTTCGCAAAGCTGCAACCAGGATCCAATCGCAAACAATACTGTATCTTCAATTTTGCAACTGGCGGTGCATCTACAAATACGAGGTGTCCCTTCTTGATACATGCACTGCACATGCCAGACTTCTCAATACATGCACTGCACATGCCAGACAGTGACAACAATCAGCTGTGTTGTAAGCACGAGCAACTCACAAGCAACTCACCGAGACTGCTTCGTCCACCTTGGAGCCCAGCGCCTCAGCATTGTCGATAAGGTACAGCACCTCCTGGTTGTCCATCTCAAGCAGCATGCCGGTGATCTTTGCCGCTTTGTCAGGCTGCAGCCTGTGCACGAGGGGGTACAGTCGCTCCCCCAGCATGATTTTCTGCTGCTCAGGAGGCGCCGCAGCCAATGCAGACGTCGATGGACCAGCTGGCGCGCCCATGCCCGCATCCGTGGGCCCTGGCCTGCCCATGCCCTGCGGTCTGAAGCTCTTTGCTCCGCCACGCCCAACAAGCTGCAGAAAACAAATCCACATTAGCTTCTTGGTCAAATTTTGGCAAAACCGCACTCAAACCAGGTGGACATTCGCGTGACTCTGGCTGCTGGGGATCAGCTCTCGACCCAAGAGGTAACTTACCCTGCCCCCGACACCCCCACGGGCGCCACCCCTTGCAGCAGGATAGGTAGCCCTTGCACCCCGGCCAGGGGGACCACCCCTCCCTCCCGGAATCCCCCTGCCGTTCATTCCTCTTCCCGCGCCTCGTCCGCCCTGTACCATGGGCGAAGCCATTGTATTTGGTGGCCACATCTGCTGTGCCATCATGCCGCCCGGCAGCACAGGCGGGAATGGGGCAGCGTTCATGCCCATTCCCAGCCCCATGTTGAGTCCAAGGCGCGCAAGTCGGGCCCTCTCCAGCTCAGCTTGTCGCTGGGCCTTTGGCTGGGCAAGTGCCACATAGAGATGCTGGCCATTCACCAGCTGCTCGTTCATTTCTGCAAGTGCACGGGATGCTTCCTCAACTGTGCTGAAGCAGACAAACCCAAAGCACCTGCTCTTCCCACCATCATCGGTCATCACCTGCAAGGGGGCAGTGGACATATCACCCCAAATTCAGTTGCTATTCCGACAAGTATTGTAGTATACTATACCCTTCCACATAGTAATGTAACGTTTGGCCTTTTTATGCAGAGCAATACTGAAAACGCACCGGTGCCAAGAAATGCCTGGCAGCACCAGCCGCAACACGGGGGACTCTGGGCTGCTTGTGGCGTCTAGTGGCCCCACGAGTCGCTCTGGGAGAGAACAGGTAGTTGAGGCCATGCGAACTGAGCAGAGTCGCCATTATGACTGCGACCATGATGCAGAGTCACCATAATAGCGATCTGTAGAGAAAATGCAGAGCAAAGATCGTAACGGTGAAATTTGAATATGAAGGGCTTAATATACTACAGTATGTGAGACAAAATCTGTGCATGGTAGCTGGCACTTGTACTGTACTATATGTAGCATTTCGTATTTTGATAAATTTGCGTCGCTTTTCACAGGGTTATTCTTCTGCACAGTGCTGAAACAATATCGCAGCATTGTTTTTTCCATTCTGCATCGCTCCTGCCCAGGGAGTATAAAGTAGATGCCACAAGGAGATGTTTGGTGGCCTTGGGAAGCCGCACAAAAGAGTCCCTTTTGGTCGTGCTCACATGGTGGCGCTCGATCGCAACAAGAAACCGTGGGCACCAGGAGGCCGTGGCATGAATAACAATCAATGAATGAAAATCACCCGCACAAATGGCACGTGCATCGATACTGCCGAAGTTGTTCAAGCTCTTCGAGAGGCAAAAGTGCCACAGTTGTGGGATGCCCATTCACCATATCACGCCTTGCACCTGAAGCCCAACATCGACAGAGCTGGGCAGCACAAGCCACAAGCAGCGCTTGCAGCCTGGTCTTTGCGCCCTTGCCTTTGCAACGATGCTCTTGTAGGGCGTTCCCTGTCCTATTGGAATTCCCACAAAGACGCCAGACCAACGCCAACAACTGTGCAAGTGGACGGACGCCCCAACGCAAGCGCCACTTAGACACTGCCAGTAGCCACGTCAGAAACATAGGCATCCTTTTCCCTGCAACATTTCGCTGTTCGGCTTTTCTCCACAGAAGCATCATTCTAATTTTTTTGGCTCCGCAAGATTTGAGCGCCGTGTTGTTTGCGGATATGCTACATGTAGTACGGTACGTCGATGTGTTACTGAGCAGCAACTGTACAGAACATTTTTCCCAACCATAGAACTGCACAGTGCTGGGGCAATTGCACACTTTGCGGGCCATTTTTGTGGAGAAGCAAATTGTGTTCTTTAACTCTCATTTGCTCCACAGGATGCTACGTTTTTCCTCCTAAACTTTTGGACAACTGTCTGCAATTCCAAGCCAAAAGGACTGTTCGGCAGTAAGGAGTCATCAGCAATCTGGCAACAACAGGGATACATCGACTCTTGTGTGCAAGGGCAGTGATCAGTCATATTACAGACAGGATCTAGCGTGGAGTTCGGCACCCAGCGATTGGGGTCCCACACACTCTGGGCACCCGACCCAAGATGCCCACCAATATCAATACACTTCTCACCTTAGCTGATGTGATGGTTCCAAATTTTGCAAAAAGCTTCTTCAGGCCCTCGTCATCAACAGAGGGGTCCAGATGCTTGATGTACAAGTTGCGTCCCTGCGTGCTCTCCTGCTGCTCACGCCGCCTGCGTTCATACCTGCACTGGATAGGCACCCCAGTTGTGACCAAGGCCATCTATTCACATGGCCAGAAAGCAAGCCAATTGCCTTCCCCCACCCATTGGCCCCTTTTAAATTGGGCTCTGCTATGATGACTAGCTTCAGTGCCAAAAACTGGCACTGCATAGCATTCACTGGCACCCAAACTGCATGTGTGCAAGTTCAATATGGTAGCATGATGGCGTGATGATTCGCAACAAACTCACCTAGAACGGCCCAAAACGCCCCCATGCAGCATCTAAAAACATACGAGCTGCAAACAGCCAGGTACAGTAGACCAACGACACATTCATCATCAAAGAATTGGCAACCCACCTTTCCTCCAGCAACTTTTTGCGTTCTGCTTTTTTCTGTGCTGGGGCGACATACAGTGTGGCCCCTTCCATTTCCCTGTTGTTCATATTCTCAAGAGCCCTTCCTGCACTGCTGGCATCGGTGAAGTTGACAAAGCCAAAGCCTCTGATGTCGCTGTCAGGCTGCATACAGTTACAGCCACAACATTGGTATTTGTACTTACAGACCAATGCACAGGGAGCCAACTACCAACTCGAATGTGACAGTTCGACAGTAGCAGTGCCAACTACACACATTTCCTACACACAGGCAGGATACTGGTGTGCCAATGACACCACTGAGTGCCTCCAACAAAAGTCTAATGTGTGATGCTTGCAATCGTAATTGTTCTGACAGTCTAAAGTAGTGATGCTAAAAAGCACAACATTCCAGTGCACGCAAAAGGTGCTAGAGAGTAATTGCATTGGTGAATAACGACATTTGCAATCTGAAATCAAACATGCAAACAACAAATCTTGCACATGGCAAATGCTCTCTGTGCTGCCTTGTGTCTGCCCAATGTGTGTTTACCTGGCCCGCTTTTGCCAACCAAGCACTTGTGATATCCCCAAACTCCTTGAACAACTCAACCAGCTTGTCGTCACTGTCAAATTTGGCAGGGAGATTCTTCACATAGAGATTTGTGAAGCCTTTGAGACCTCCCCGTTGTTCCTTGTTGGTGTAGTGTGCAACGTACAGTTGCTTTCCTTCCAGCAACATACCGTTGGCTTTCTCCACAGCCGCCTCTGCTGACTCTGGCTTTTCATACTGGACATACCCATACCCAAGCGGTGTCCCATCTTCAGCCCTGGCCACTTTGGCAGACGTGATGGCACCAAACACTTCAAATGTGTCATGCAGGGTGCGAGAATCAATGTCCATGTTCAGCCCCTGCACAGGAAATTCCCACTCAGTGCTTCCCAGCCGACGTTGAAACGTGAAACCACGTTCCTGTCTGCGCAGCAACAAAAGGAGATTTGACAATTTCGAGACGCCATACAAGACAGGCAGGCGATGCTGTCCTTGCCAAGCTGGACCGGGAGAGTGACGACCGCCCAGAAAGCAGACAAACGCCTCACCTTCACGAAGACATTCCCCACACCAGACTTCCGCACGGATGCGTCTCTGTTGGCCCACATGATCCGCATCGGGCGTCCCTTCACCGCGGTATACGCCAGGAGCTCGAGGGCTTTCTCGGCTGCCGCAGAAAGACAACACCGTTGCGGCATTCTCACGGGAAAGGGCAGCGCAGGGCTCGCTACACGCGCGTCTGGCCGTCCGCCACCGTCCCAGCCCTCGTCACGGGCTCCCGAAACAACGGCGAGCGGCGGACTGACCCCCCGAAGGGCGACTCGCGGCAATCATGACGAATGGGCCCCAGCCGCAGGAACCCGCGGCAGAGATTGCAGCAATGCTGCCGAACTGGCGGGCGTATCCGTGGACACCTGGCGGGCCGATTGACGCCACTGCCATCAGGCACCTCCTGCAATGCCGGCCTCCGGCGCACCCGCCCCAGCCGCCGACCGCGAAACCAATGCGCCGAAAGGTCGCCGCCTTTGCGGGTTTTCGGCTGGACCGGGGGACGCAGGGCGCGGCCACGCCGGCGACAAACTCATCGCGGCCACCGACACAGCGTCTGCGACCGTGAGGCAGCGCAGCCGGCAGGCCCACGCGGCCCGCGGCAGCGCCACGTTCACCGGGGGTAATCCGTAACGTCCAGATTCTGGGAATCTGCAGCGGCGTCGACCCGCCGCCCGAAGGGGGGCCGTCGACTTCCGCGAGGCAGCGCGCCACCAATTTCGAGACGGCGCCGCACCTGCGTGCGGGTCCAGCGATGGGATGTAGTTGACATACGCGTAGCCCAGAGACCTGCGCGTGACGGAGTCCCGGCACACTCGGATGGACGCCACGGGGCCGACCTGCGTCCACACGACAGCACCGCCGTCACGGCGAACCCAGCCGAACGCAACGCCGCAAGTCTCGGGGGGGGGGTGTGGCGGAGGGCGGGGCGGCGCGAATGCCGTCGACAGGCCGAGCTGGGGGCCAACCTTGGAGAATATGTTGTAGAGCAGCCCCTCATCCACGCCCCTGTCCAGGTCCCCCACGTACAGGGAGTGCTTGGGCGCCTGGCCGCCCGCCCCCGCCGCCGCCGGGCGCGGAGCGCCGGCTTGGTCGGGTTGGCGGGTGGCTGCTGGCTGGGCCATTTCCGCGGCTCCCGTGCGTTTGCTGTGGCTGCGCTGCCGCGGTCGCGAGGGTGGCCCCGGCGGCGGGATGGGCGCGGTCGTGCCGACGAGGGTGTGCGGCGGCCCGCGCGTCTCGCCAGCCGCTCTGTCGAAGCCACAACAGCCGGGGGACAGGAATGAATCGGGGGCGAAGGAGGGGTTTGACGCTTTGACCTGGATGACAAAAAGGGCCAATCGGCTCGTCATCGAGGTACGCCGTCCGTCCGTTCGACGGTTGCGCAAATACGGTGGCGAGGGCCGTACATGCCCACTGTGCCTCCTGGGGAGCGGGCTATCTGGTTTCCGTTGAGCAGGGCGCTCCTATTGGTCCTGCCGCTGTGGGCAAGCGTGGTGAGTACGTTGATGCTTCAGACCTCTGGATTTGTGTCCTTCGGCCCACAGTGGATGCCGCGTGTGTTGCTGCCCGTGCCTGCCCACGTCCTCCCCAGCCTCTGCGCCAAGTCGGCACTGCCAACTTGGTAAGCGACCGCGAGTTCACATGGCGTTGATGGATCCGAAGCCGCAACAGAAGAGGCCTCACAAACTGGCACTGGCACGCCGCACACCTTTCCCAGCCACAATCCGTAACCTTACCCTCGGTCATAAAATCCTCTTTGATTTATCTGCGTTTGCCAACATTTGCGACAAAGCACTTCCCCAACACTTGTTACCCAGTCTCCACCGTTTCTCAGAAGTGGCGCTGCATCTGATCAAGGGGATTGTTTTGGCGTGATACTTTTAGGCCTGGAACGCTCAGCGCAAGTGGTTTGATAACATTAGAAGTTTTGGCACTGCAATACTTCCCATTGAGGCCTCCTGTGCGACTCTTGATAACAATCTGCAGTGGCGAACTGCCTGTCTGGGTACTTGAAACTGCGTAGGTTGATTATCAGCGAACACCCATCACATGGCTGCAAAGCTTTACGGTGCATTGCGTGCATTGTGTGCATTGGCACAAAGTTCGATGCCATGGCTTGAATGGCAGCTGGTGTTGCGTCTCACAAAAAGCACACTTCATTTGTACTTCCAACTGGAAGTACCAATTATTTGCCATAACCCATGATTGCTTGACTTTCTTGTATTGCAAAGAAAGGTAGTCAACCAATCGTTGATGAATCAATCAATAGAAAAACATTGTGCCGGACAATTCTGCAGTTCTCCGAAGGATCTTCCGGGGGAAACAGACCTCAAATTAATGAGCGCCACATCTTGCACATCGCAATGGGCCATGGAACGAGTTCGTTATTGTCAATCGTGTCATTGTGTCCTTCATAGCCCATGAGCACACTCGTCAACACCAAAAACACCAGCGCGAGCAAACTCTGATGACGGCACACTACTGCAACAGGAATTGCCTCGAGACGAATGGTTTTCAGGTGAACAACCCTTCGCCTGCACGATTGCAGACTGCGAGGCGCATGCAACAAGGGAGCCCCGATGCGTCCGCTCTCACAGCCGCGCGCATGTTATTGAGAATGGCGCACGATGACTACAATGGAAACAAAATATTGACAATACCGAATCCTGCTACTAGATCCAGCGCTAGACCTTCTTCGACACCAGTGGCTCACTCGGGTTAGCGGAGTGCAAACCTCTACCTGCCCATTCAGTCGGACAAGCCGTAAGAGCACTGCACCGCGCCTAAAGCCCTGTCTGGGCACAGTGGAGGGGGCCCAAAGCGCTGGACCAGCCATATACTTCAATGAAAGGATATTCTGGATGGCATTGCATGACACCAATCCGAACGTGAAGGAGGCGGAAAGTGCTTTCGTCCAAGCTTCGATGGCGTTAACCGAACTGAAAAGTTTGCCAATTGGCCTGTTCAAAAGCGAATTCGCCGCACCTCCCATGGATCATGGCACCTTCCGTTTTTACAGTTGACGCTCAATGCGGACCTTGATCTGATTGATGGGCACAACATAGTGTTGAGTATTTATGGTGCAGATTGTTGCGCCGTTCCAAAGCAGCTTGCTGGTAAATGGGCTGCATGCCAGTCCTGGCATCGCTGGGCAAGGCCTCTCGGCACAACTGTGTATGCAAGCTAAGGACCACACTTTGTCGACTCCAACACGCCGGCGATCAATCTGACGCCATGTCCACCTCCCTGGCGTCAATTTGATGCAAAATCGACATAGTGGAGCCCTAACATACGAACAAGACAAACAGACAGCCAAGGAGAGCGCATTTTTCACACCCTTGGCCGGATGGAGAACCCAGGCAACCCGTGTGATGCAACCGCGGCACGGGAATGCTTCATTTCGACAAAATTCTGCAAGTCCAATGGACAAGCAGTCAGCACATCACCATCGCGCAGAAAGTTTCGATGGGGCTCGCATCGCGATTCTCCCGTCGACTGATTGTGAACGCCATGACCGACCCTCAGCCATCCCCACCCTGCACTATGGTCACCACAATTGGCAATCCCCTCGCTCAGAAAATTGCAACCCACTGAAAATCGCACAACTCTGCTACATACCAATGGGACTATCAACCAAAATATCGCCCCGCTAACTGAATGAACAGCGGACACATACGTGTTTCCCAGCCTACATTTCGGGCTTAGAGAATCATTTCTGGCAACATGACCGCATCGCACCTCCCGCAAACCAACAATCGCCCCCTAGCAACAGTGGCACTTGTGCAATGCTCGCCAGATCGCTGAACTCGACAGCCGATATAGACATCCATGCACCCATAGCCAGTGGCACTCAGAGAAGCGCCCAGTGGCAAACTAGGACTCATCCAATGGCAAAACTAGGACCCATCGCCAACAATTGCATGACATCAATGCCAGCCTCATGCAGCACTTACACCTTCGACGAGCGCTCTGAACTGATGAGAACTAGGTATGAATTCCTCTTCTAATTTATTCAAGGAATCACTCCAAGACCCCGGACTATACACCGGAAAGCTACGACCTGCTGTTGAACAGTTTGAACGTCGTTTACAGCTACACATGAACGTGTCTAGTCTTCATCGTGACAAACATTGTAGTCCACCTGGATTGTCGTGTGTTCAATGCCTATAGACCGACAATAGCGGGTTGTCCGTCCAACGACTTCCTTGCCATCAGCGTCACTGTGGACCAAGATGTGAGCAGACAGCAGTGGTATGCCAGGTGTGAGGCTCCAAATATGCAAATCCTGGACGTCCTGCAATAGCACACGAAGCAATGGAACTGAGAAAATTAGAGAATCATCCAGAGCACCAGGATCCACACTTGATGCCACATTAATGCGCACAACCGCTCCATATCCACCGCCAGCTGGCACACAACACAATAGCCATGGGCATGGAGATGTGCGATACTACATGGCAAGCAACGGGCAAAAAGAACAAGGGCACATCGCAAAAAGGGTCAGCCCCTGTCTCAAGATGGCGCTTCCGGCTCCTCATACTCTCACAAATTACAGACGTTTGGGAGAGAACGGCACACCAGGAATGAACAACAGGTGGTCATGCGATCCGGAGCCGGTATTGGAACGGGGCAGCAAGGGAGGCGCCAAGGCCTGCATGAAACATGCAGCAGGGCATGGGCGGCCGAGCCAGACGACAATCAAATGCTGTGGCAAAGGCCACACCTTGATTCCCTCCAGATCGCTCAGTTCCTGAGCAATGCTTTCGGTTGAGTATCCTCGAGGCACTCTTTCCATGAAGACGTCGGTGATGTTTGCGAAAATTGGGGCGGTTGTGCAGAGAACAAGTGCAGCAAAGAAAAACGTGCATATGGGATCGGCGATATTCCATCTTGGGTCATCTTCATGCCACCATATCAAGCCTCCTGCCACCACAACACCTGATGGAACCAGGACACCTCTCATCAGCAAGGGCTTCTGCAATTTTGCAAAGAGGGAAGGGAATCACACATTCTTGCTGGGAGAGGTTGTTGCATGATCTGTTTTCCACGCACGCACGCACGCAGAAACAAGTGAATGATGCTTCCAGATAGTGAGCATCCAGAAATTGTTTCAGGCAAGACAAGATGAGATGTTTTTCCGTTTCGTGCAGAGTTTTCCAAGTGTATGGGCCATGTGCAGATGCCTCACTCACAGATTACACTGAACCACTGGTCTTGAGCATTGCGTCTGGAAATGGAATGGCCCACAAGGCAGATTGACGCTCTCAGTTTGGTACATTGCTAATTTGCACAGCACTCAAATTGGAACAGCCATTGCACTCACCTATGCTTTGGATCATGTCACCAAGAATGTGGATCAATGCGGCTCGGAGGCTCATGTTATCATGGCCACTAGCTTGGCCATTGCCAAGGGCATTCGTGTGGCCAATTGTATGGCCATTAGCGTGACCATCAACATTGTCATTTGCAAGGCCATCAGCATGGCCATTACCATGTCCTGGGCTTGCATGCGAACAAGTGGGGCTGTGGTGATGCCCTTGGCTGTGGTCATGACTGTGCTCATTGTTGTGCCCCTGTTCCTGGTCCCTTTGCACTTGCTCTACACGCTCAGGATCGTCACCACAACTTCCTGCAAGACATGGCCAGGCGATTCTCAGCGCCAGCCAATGGGCCATCAGGGGGAGACGATCGGGAGCAACAAGGTCCTCTAAACTGCCTTGTTGTGAGTAAATTTCAAGGGAAAACAGACGTCATCTTATGGTGAAAACATAGTGCTGAAAACACCTGGGTCATTTAATTTGAGGCTGAGGAAGTACAATATATCATATCAGCTCTTGGCTTCTTGTGAGGCCTTTTTAAAATACAAATTTTCTAAAGCCTTGATCAGAGTTTGGACAGGAGCTAAGGGACAAGGGAGAGTTGAAGGGGACAAGGGCGAATCTGGAGTTCTTACTTCTCTTCTGTTGCGATTTCAGGATTGAGTGGACTCACAAACGTGAACAAATGGTTGTGACCAAACACAGTGTCGATCCACGCTCATCATCTTCTGTCAAGCACAAGGGCTGTGCTTGCCTTATGACAAATGTAATCAAGGCAATGTTGAGGACCGCGTAGGACCGCTGCTGCTGTTTCCTTTGAATTCCATGGCCATTTATCAACATGACAAGAACATTATGGAGTCAATCAAGACACAGTCCTGAGGTGTCTGTTGCACAGATGCAAGGCTGTTCATGGCCTTGTGTAAATTCAGATGACAATGGACACCACGCAGACTGAGCAGGAAAGATGTTGTGCTGGCACAAGTACCAAGCACAGAAGCACTCCCCTACCTGGCATACTTGCCACAGTTGCACATTGCTACTTTGCCATGAACAGCAGGCTACAGTGCACGATGCCACAGCTGTATTCATGGCATGTGGCAATGTCCCACATTGAAGACTTGGAAATTGTGAGGCATGCACTAAGTTTATATCCACAACATCTCCTCTGCTGCATGCACATCGGGTCTTTGAAGAAAAATGCAGCTATGCCACACAGACTAATATCCGCTGAGACTGCTGAGGAGACCTGCCTGAAGAGTCAGTAGAGTGCTGGCATGCGGACAAATAACATGCAAATCGAAAAGCACCATGCCATGAGACTCTTTGTCTCCTTCCCTATTTGCCACAATCCCACGAAGGCTCCTGACAAAACTTGAGGCACCTTTCAGACTGTACCTGCTCTCTCTAAGAAAGGCCAGGGAATCTGTAAGAAATAAGCATCACTATGCACACCTTTTTCATGCGAGTGTGTCCCCAGAATGAAGATCATGATCAAGTTCATGAAGAAGCCCGCAACGGCCACGCAGAACATCACTGCATTGGAAACCACAGTCAGTAGGATCAGGGTAGCAATTACTATTGTTTCAGCTATTACATGTACCACTAGCATACATATGCAAGTGTTGCACCTCACAGCATCTTGAAATCAGCTAGCACCCTGAAGCCCTGCACTGTGTGGCAGTGGACATAGGATTGAATTCCTCAGAACAAAGCAACAGAATCATATCCACCACTGCAGTGGTAGCCTGTACCACCAGAACAAGGAATTCTTTCACATGCAGTTGGAAATTCCAATGGGCAATTGGCAAGTTGTGTGTTGATCTTCTACATAGCAGTTTACTTGTGTGTGTATGGATATCTTTCAAGTAGCTGTGTGGCATTGCCAAAAATACCTACTTGAACAATGCTGCTGCCAATTCTGCAATGACATCCCCTCATGGGGTCCAACACTGTCAACAAAACACAACAATGTGGTGGCGAAAGTCAGGCAGTGCACAGATAACTTGGGCCGTTTTGAGTATAATTGTCAGAGATCATGCACATCGACACAAATGGTATGTTCAGCCACAGCATAAACGAGCGCATGCACCACAACTGAATGCCTCCATGCTTGACTGTTCTGGCCACTGCATAAGACAATGTTTTGTAAACTCTTGTATCCATGCACACCAGCCCCGACATGAAGCAAACCTGCTTCGTTTTGAACGCCAGAACTTAGTGCTTCAGGATCTGAATTACTCAGTGACAGCCCAGCCCCACCCGTGGCCCACCACATTCCTTTCACTCACGTTTGCCATTGACATTTGATGGATGGATTAGTCGCTGCACTGCCTCAACCACCAGCATGCCAGTCACTTGCCAGATTATGAGAACAGAGACCAGTGCACCAAATACTTCAGCCCGGTGATACCTGCACCATAGCACTCAAGAGCCTCATTGTTAACAACCTGTTTCCGGTGCAAGAACTTGTTCCCCAAAACGAGTCTGCATGATGAAATGACAACATGAGAGGACGTGACAAGTGGGCTTTGCACCAAAAAAGCAGGTGTCCTTGATGACCATGGGTTCACCCCAGTACTCGACTGCACTTTTCGACGGTCCAACACCGTGTGTTGCCATTCTGGGAACAGGAGCTGTGACTCATGCCCGCGAGCAGGAAAACGTTTGAAATAATCGGGGAGGGGTTTCATGCCCATTGTCGCCTGCAAGGCACAAAGGCTGTATTTTGCTGTGTGTGGACAACTGTAGTCCATTACATTCACTGTGACAACTGACGACACAGTTGTGTAGGACAGAATCAAGGCTCACACATGGATGATTTCACTGAGCTTGTTGTCCCTGAGTTACTAGCGCACGTTCTGGGGACAAACAATGCGGATTTGCCAGCACCCAGCAAGCACCGCACAGCGGGCACAGTTCGGCCCTGTTTCGACAACTGCAATCAACCGGTCTCGATTGTCCTTTTTGACGCTCTGACTGCGAGAGCTCCCTTTTGGCAATGCACCTACCCAAAGGAATGCGTGGGCTTGCTCCTCTTGGAGGCCCAATACGAGGCCATGGCCGACAGCGCAAACGCGCACACATCCGAAAGGAGGTGAGCTGCGTCCGTCATGATGGCCAAGCTGTGCGCAATCCCGCCGCCCACAAACTCTACAAGCATGAATGTGAAGCTGACGGACAAGACCAGCAGCAGCGTCCTGACTGCCTGCGAGGGCAAGACACTCCGCGATCACGCCCCACTCCCGTGCGGCTCGGACTGTGCCACTACGCGTCAGTTAGCTTCAGTACGCGTCAGTCCGCTTCTGTGCGCGTCAGTCCGCTTTTGTGCGCGTCAGTGCGTTTCAGCGCGCTCCAGTGCGCTTCAGTGAGCTCCGGCGCGCTTCGGCGCGCCTCAGTGCACTCCAGCACGCGGCTTCACGTCGACGCTCGACGTGCATGGCAACTCCGCACAGCAGGCCGGGGACGGGCGCCTGTCTGGCCAGCGCAGCTGCTTGCGGGGTATCACCTTTTGCTGCTCGCTGTCTTTCTCTCCAGATCCCTGGGCGAGTCTGCATGACTGCGACAGCCCTGCGAAAAGGTGACGATGCTGGCGTGAGACGGACAAGAGCCCAGCTCGCGGCGCGCGGTGGGCACGCAGTTCGTCGAGTCCGGCGACCTCCGGGACGCCGCAACAGCCCGATTGCTCTCCAAGTCGCCGTCCACCGCCCGACATCGCGGCTCACAGCACGCAATGCACGGGCCACTGCACGTCCGAGCAAGAGACATGGTACGGACAGACGCGGAAGCATGTACGACGCCGGGGCAATGGCCTCGGGCGAGAACATCGCTGGCCCCGATCACCGACAGTCGTTCAACTCACTGGACTCGCAGAGAGTTGCAGATAGACGGCGACTGGGGTCCCATCGGCAACCAGCAAACGCGTCGGCTGCGGCAATCGAACCCTGATTGCTGGCGAGGCCTCGCAATCCCCGAGCCAATGGGTGGCGCCGACGGTCGCCCAAGTGGATCAGCGAATAGCAAAGCAGTCCGCACCGTTACAGTCGCCCTCCAGCAGAGGCACCTGCTGCCCTCCCAATTCCTCATCAGTCTCGTGCGCGGCGACGGCCATCGCGTGCTGCGCACGCTCCCCCAAAGCCACGGAGGACGAGGCGTCTGCTGCCAAGGTGCACTGTGTCCCGCGATTAGACGTACTTTGTGCGCCTGGCCCCGCGCCTGTTGCCTGGGAGGGTGCATGACCTTTGTCGGGCGCGGGACGTAAGATCTGTTCGCAGTCCCAGTGAGTCAACCAAACACGTCAGGAGAACGCCCTGTCCTTACTCCGCCAACGTCTCTTGGCAACCCACTGGGTCGCCGGTCAGCGCCCCCGTTGCCCGGTATTCACGGCGTCACGGCGAAGGCTTGTGGAAAACTGCTCCTTGTGTACCAAAAACACGCACTGGCTGAATGAATGTACGGATGGTGTACGTTCGCGAGGACAGACGTGGATGCCGTATGACGGCCTCGCCGCAAATTGGTCTGCGAATCAGCACCTCCCCACGGGTTTCGAGAAGAGTCATTGTAGTCAGCGTGGGGCCACGCTGTCGGTTGCAATATCATGACACGTGGACTGAATGGATGGCTTGGCAAGAAAGGGTCGTTGTTGCTTTGGTTCCGTCTGTAGCTCAGTTGCCTCCGTCCCGTTCCCGCAGCACTTCTCCGACCTTGCGTTTCAAACCACAGATGGCCAACCGAAAACGCCCTGGACATCGTCGAAGTAGGGTGCCACCGAAATGAAATTCACTACCTTGTTCATGGGCTACTGACAAGGGCCGGGATCGAATCGGCGCTCGCCATTGTTGCGTGGCCTTTGTGGCGCGCCCTTCAAGTTTCTGTCCCTATGTTATGTAAGTCCCAGGCATTCAAGGGTGGCCATTGGAAGCTTCGGGCACTTGGGAGTGGCGGGCTTTTGGAATAGCTGAGTGGCTGCGACTCTTCGGGCATCACCTTTGGTTCTGCTCAACGTTGTTTTGTTTCCGGCCTGTCCCACCCGGGAGAGCAAAGTCTGGTTAGATTTGGGATCGAGAGGAGTCAGAATGATTCGGTTTCTGGCGTCGACTTTGCGTGCGTCAAGGCCTGGCACCTCCGGTAACGGAGGACAGCGCGGAGGGGTTTACATAGCCACCCCGCGACAAGAACATGGTCGGCGTTGAGGAGCGTGTGGCATGCTAGATGGCGCCGGGGTTGCCATTATAGCAACCTGCAGGCAAATGACACTCCAATTTGCAAGCAGTGCAGGAATTCACGGAAAACGTTACTGCGACGTGCCGCCATGTTGTTGTGATTGGCGTCGTACTTAAAATCGGTAACTACAGTGCGAAGGTGGTCAGCTGCCGTCACGCTTTGTCGGTCAATGTGACAGCCCGGGAGGGCGTTAGGGGTCAGCGACGTCGCTGACGCAGTCGACTTTGTGCGATATGCAGTGGCCACACAAGATGGCACAGATGTACACAGCACGGCAGCCCCCGCGTCCTTGACGCCAAATCTGATTCTCGATCCCATATTGCATAGGCTAACCCACAGCGAAGCGACTGGGCACATTCAGCGAAAACTTGGTATTGTTAATGATGATGGACAGCAAGTGAATTGTAATTGTACCGTCATTTTTTGTCAGGTGTGAACTTCTGGGTGGGGTGTAGAAGACCGTCAATGCAAAAAATACACTTCGGGGCGTACATGGTACGCATTCAAACGTGGACATGCATACTAGATTAGGCACAGCTCATCCATGATGTTCATAGCGACAAGATTTGTCACCTGAAGCGCTCGGGGTTTCATTAAGTGACTTACTCACGATCAATGCGCCTTGATCTTGGACGCGTCGCACATTGCATGGAATAGGTTGGATACCACTATGCCCCCATTGCGTGAAATACATTGTATGATGCATCAGAAAGAAGAGCAAACAAAACATTCCGATCGTGGTCATACTAAGCGGACCTCATGAGGTGTGAAAATGGGAAGCGATGGCCAGGTGAAGAAGTCTTAAATGATGTATATGCTCACGGCGTTTGAAGCTGACAGGTCACCTTCGCATTGACATCGGTATTTCAGTGTCTTAGACTCAAGATGTGGAGGGGTATCTGGATACATCTGCTTATCATGTTCTGACCTGTGCCATGGGGATCCCCACGGCTCAGATCAGAGCATGATGAGCAGATGTCCATCAGATTGCTTCTTCATAACAGTTGAGGTGGTAGTACATCATGTCTAACCTGCAGCTTATGGAAGGAGGAAGCAATGAACCGCATGCTTCCCAATCAGTGACATCTGTTGTATTCCGTTCGATACACGTTCGTTGTCATTATTGCTGCTCAATGCAATCTATCTCCTCTTAGAAGCCCAGATGCATCTGTTCCCTATTGCAATTTTGCAAAAGGCAACATCAATCACCACTTTTGGAAAGCCTATTACAGCTCACTGAAGTCTGTTGGACACGGATTTCCTTGAAACTTGTCATTTTCATGGATCAAAATACCTTCAGCAATGTGGAAATCAAAAATGGCACCTCCCGCAGGCTGGAAAATGCACAGCAGAGGCATCAACGCTCCAGAAACTGGGTCACATGTCTTGGCATGCAACATTTTTACAAAGCATAGATGCACAAGTACTGTTACGAATACATCAAATAGTGAGCAAATCGCAACTGAGTTTCGTTTTGGGTTTAGAACTTAGAATTTGGGGTTTTAGGGAATTCTTTATGGAACGTGCCTGTCCAACTGGCAGCCCATGAACTCTTGGAGGTGACTTGACGCGGGATAGCAATCGGCTGCCACACGCGTTTTTCCCGCGCAGGGGCAGCAGGCAGCGGCTGGATGGCGACGCACTGACTGTACCCCCGGCCACCCCCATCAAACTTTTGGCCATGGCTGCTGTCACAGGAAGAGTAGTTATGCACTTTAGCAGAAGAGAGCAATTCGCTAAAGATGCCACTATTGCAAGAATTAGATGTCTTTCACAGTTGCAAAATGAATAATTTGAGTCGCATAAAGAAATAGTAACATTAAACCGATGGGTGATTGTTGAGGAGCGTTTGGTCCCTACAATATGGATGGATCCCGTCACAAGAACATTCCCTTTCACTCCTTTTCATTTTCAACTGCGGTGGCGGTCTGCACAGACCATTCCAGTCAGTGAGCCATGTACTGGGCACAAAACTCCGAGAGCTGAATCCCAGGTTACACACCCAGTGAAACGGTGGCCATTACGTAACTTCAAGAACAGAAGGCAAAATGGGGTAGATACGTAGTCCTTGCGCAGCCAAGGCGGCACGCACCGAGCAAGGAGGGCCACGAGTGTGTCATGAATACCAGTTAATCTTTATGAGGGTCGTGGGAAGAAGGACAGCCTGGCCGCCGGGACTGTACTCAGCCGAGCCCCGACGCCCCACCCAACGCGGACACTTGTTCATCAACTACAGCGCCCGTTTGGATGCTGGCGCTGTCGGGACTCCCTCATTGCGTGCTGCCCCGCCGGCCTGACCTACAAGGTCACCAGCAGCACCAGACCTCGGCAGGCGCAGCGGTTAGGATTGCCGCACTACTAGGGAGGAGACGGCCGACGGCCTCGGCACCGGTGCGGGCGACGTTGCTGGCAGCGCGCCTCGGGCCCGTGAGCGCTGGCGGCGTTGGTGTGCAGGTTGCCGTGGTCCCGTTGGCAGGGCGGCGTCGACACGGGATGCCGCGTCTGAAGCAGCGAAAGGAAGGGCCCACGGGGCCGGCCACGGCGCCGGTCTCGGACCGCAGGCCTTGGAAGCACCTTTGCGCGGCCGGCTGCTGCGGCCTCACCGCGCATGCTCGAACGCGGGTCGTCCTTGGCGTGCCCTGAATCAAGCGTGTATGATTTGTGGATGGAAAGCGGTCGAGGCCGCGGTGCGCCTGGCCCCCCCATGGGGCTTCCCTTCAGCTGCCGCGGATTTCTTCATGAATAAGGTTTGCCGGATCCGCTGCAGATGGGGCCGTTGTGCGACGCACGCGTTGGACGGCCGGCGGCGCACATGCCCCGGTGGGCTCGACCACCACCCCCGTTTGCGCCTTTTTATGGACTTCAGCGCGAGTGCAGGAGGCCCGTTTTGTCTGTCTGACGACGTCTCCCGCTTGTTGCAGGGCCTGCCCTCCGCGCATGGACAGTGACGTGCCAGCTCCCCAAGACGCCGAAGCTGCCGGACCCGACGCCTGCTTCAACGCGGCCCCCTCCCACGGGCAGCAAGGAGCCCCGATGCAAGACGGCGCTCTGGCTTCCGGCATTGCCTCTGGGCCGTCGCCGGCCGTGGACGTCGATGAGGGCGCCCCGGCGCCGGGTGAGGCGGTGAAGCCCGAACAGCCGCCCTCGGAGGTGTCGGGCGTCCCCTACGGCAACAGCGCAGCCGCGGATGGGGTGTACAGCCAAGCCACGCCGCAGGGGCTTGAGCAGGGGGCAGAGCACATGCAAGAGATGGTGGCCATACCAATGGCGATGAATGGCACAGCGCTGGGGTTCCCTTCAGCAACGGTGGCCATGGGTGGAATTCAGGGACCCACGGCTCTGCCTGCCCCCCTACATGTGCCACATGGCGAGCACAGTGCAGTCGTGGTGGCTGGCACTGAGGGGCAGATGGCCGCCCCGATGATGTTCCCCTACCAACCTGAGAGCATGGGTTTCAGCGTTGCTCCTTCGGGGCTGGGACCGGAGCCTGTGGGTGTGCCTGAACTGGTGCATCGGATTCAGGCGCAGGCGGAGCGCATCAAGGAGCTGGAGAGTGAAAAAGGCAGACTGGAGAGGCAGCTGGAATTGTTCCTCTCATTCTATGACGATTTTGCTGCTGCAGCTCACAAATTGCATGAAGGTATGGCGCAGCAGAGTGTTGCATTGCCAGATGCTCGACAGCTGGCAACTCCAGGAAGGAAGAGGAAACAGAGTGTGAATGGACCATTGGTGACGCCAAAGCCAAAGAAGGCAAAGGGCAAAGATGCTGGCACGGTGCCGCAGGTATGGAAACTTGAGCATTGTGCAGCCTGTTGCTTGCTCACAAGCAATACATGGGCAGTGCATGGGCAGGCAGCGAGCATGCATTCAATCATTCCATAGTAACCTTTGGGACTGCCTTGAGATGTGCCAGCAACTGTCAGGAAAAGAATCGACCCATCTTTGGCAGCAGAGTCTCTTTCAAAACACTGCACAGTTTGGCAGTTGACGCTTTGAATTGTCTGCAGTGTTGTCCTGGAATTCACAGAGGTCCACAGCCGCATAAAGAGAGCAGTGCATCCCTGGTTCTGACATCTTGCTGACTGGATTTGATTGCAGGTGCCTCTGCCCCTACCTCCTTCTGTGCCTGGGGAGGTCAGCCTTCGGCTGACAAAGATCAAAGGGCAGACTGTGCTGCACCGGGATGCCGTGATGATCTACAGGATGGAATTTGTTCGTCATGGGGTGTTTGAGAGGTACCTGTTCATACCCAATGACGCCATTCCCTTGTACGGGAAGCAAAACTGGATGAACAGGGCAACCATACCAGGAGAAGTTCTCAAGATGGTGCGCACCTGGCCTGCATGCGCACATCTTTGTTGGTAGTGGCTTGATGCGCGCGCTGAGGGCTGAATATTGGCCAGACTTTCCACTCTGCAGCCTCTCCAGCCTGTGCTGTTGTTGCAAACCAACTCATAGACATCGGACAGACATTTGCTGTAATGCAAAATTGAACTGGCATTCACTCCGCTGCCAGTCCTGCTGTGTATTATGTCTTTGACTTTGAGTTTCCATGTGATGTTTCTAAAGCAGTAATCTTTGATTTGCCTCTCTACAAGCAAAGGCATGATAACCACAACCGCGAGACTGCCTGTTTGCAATTGTTTTGGTCTATGACTGACAAGTCTGGAGAGCGGACAGGCGGCGCTCGCTTCCAGAAAAGTCTGCTGTTGCAGCTGAGATAAGCAAAGAATTGTTGTTTTGCAGCGTAGAGCATTCAACAAGATATGTGAGGAACTTATCACAGCCTGTGGTTTCATTGTGTCCCAAATTACTTGTTGCTTGTGTTATACTTTGGTGCTGCATGCCCAGCAGCACCAAGGGTTGAGAACGAAAAGTGGAAAGCAATTTCAAAAAAGCATATATTCCCAGCTTGCACGTGTGCCCAAGAGTGTCGTGTATCGAATAATACCACTGTGCATTGTTGGGAGCGTCATTGACTGGGATGCACTGTTGGGAGTGTCAGTAACTGGGAAGTGCACATGGCAGCATCATGCACGCAGTGATTTGGTGACCAAGTTATCAGTTAGGCCAGTAGCTTGGCTCCTTGTCCAACTTGTCTCTGTTTGGCACCTGCACATCATGCGACTTCGTTTCTGTCAGTTCAAAAATGCCGGAGTTCGCTTTCGAGTCGACGCACGAAACCCACTCTACGTCGATTGGCGACTCTCCAAGATCTCTTGTTGGCCGCTCCAGAGTTGAAACAACGTTTGTTCTCAGGGGTTTCAGCAGTCGGGCCCATTTTGCCGTACCATCTTCCAGCATTCAGTGCGTTAGACAGTCTGTGCCTGACACCCTTCCCTGTGTGCGTTCAGGTGGAGAACTGCCTGACCACCAAGTCTGTGTTTTCTGAGCAGTATGCAGACGAGGTAAAGGCAATGAAGGCAGAAGTGGCACAGGTGTGTCCGCTCCTCTCTAAATGGGGCCTGGGCAGCAACAAGGTCCGCCTCATTGAGGCTTCTGGCATGGGGGAGCTGGTTGTGCGGCTGCACAGGGTGGCCAGCAAAAGGGAGTCCAAGGAAGGAGTGGTGGACGACATCGACTTTGACGTTTCGTGGATCGAGTCGGCTGGTAGGATATCGACCACTGTCGTCGGCGGATTGCGAACACGTGTGTTCTCCGCAACTGGGATGGCGTGCTGTGCCTGGTGTTTCAGTGACGGTCTTGTTGCGCGCACGGTCAGAGTGAACCTTCTCTCTCTGGCCCAGAGAACAAACATCAGTCGCTCGAATTAACATTGTGCCGCCTCACGTACTGCGACATAAGGAGGCGCAGAGTTCCGTTTAGTGCCTTTTCTTTCCTCGCACGACAGCCTGCTTCGCCGCAACAATGTGATTCTGCTGACGTCATCGAATGTGCCCATTCGCAGGCGCCGAGGTCGTACCTCCCGAGCAGTGGGGGCCGCCTGTCTATGCCCGCAAAAAGGGGGAAGTGTCCGGAGCGTCGCTGTCCGGGACACCTACGCAGGTGGCGGCGTTGGGTGTTGGGGGCGCTCCAATGGGCGGAGACTTGATACCCGCCGGGCCAAGGATGGAGGTGCCTTCTGTGCCGGCGCCTCCTGGTCTAATGCAAGGCATGGAGGGCGCCTTGGGGGCGGCACCTTCGATGATGGCGGCGGACTCTGCAGTCTCGGCGATGCCACAGATGCAGATGGAGAAGTTGGAGGGGGCGTGACGTGTCTAGGCAGCATGATGCGCTTTGTTTGCAGGGCTTGGTTTTGGCAATGGTTCAGTGGTCGCAATTCTAATCGGGGAGGCTCGGCTGTCCGTTTGGCGTCTAGGTGTTGTGAACCCTTGTGTGGGTTGCGTTGAGAACGGGTGCACACAAACGAACTGGGACAACGAAATGCAACATGTAGTCAGGGCATCGTTCGCCAACAAAATTGACAACAGCTATAAGAATTCAAAGAATGGAAAGAATAACATGTGTGCCAAACACGGCTGTCCCAGTGCGCTTTGGGTCCCCCCTGGGGCACACATTCCTGCAGGGCTTGACAGCACCTGTCATGGCGACAATCGCTATACATTGAACCGGAACAGCATTACGTCGCCCTCTTGAACAATATACTCCTTTCCCTCTAGGCGCACGTCCCCCTTCTCTCTAGCACCATTGAATCCGCCGTGCGTCGTGAAGCTATCATACTGAGAGCGCACACACACGAGGCAAATTTCAGACTGGGCGTCAGGTTCCGCAAAGCTGCATGTAGGCAGACTGATAACTCTGGCAACAAACACTTGCATTCGAACAGCACATTGGAAAATCTGCGCAACGAGTGACGTGGTATGTGGAGAAAAATGTTTGGCCGCCACAGCGGTGGGGGGCAGGCGCTCATTGAAGCCCACGAACCCAGTAGCTATGGCCACTACAATCCTTTCTGATTGAAGACCCCAATGTGTTGCTTCTAGATGTGCTGCACGTACACACCGATGCCGCAGAAATCAACAAACGCACACATCAATGCAGCCTTCCTAGGCGAACGTTAACATGACACACATCGCCACACCATGCCAGAGCATGGTGCAGATCACGCCACACAGCCTGTCCCAACAGCCAACCTGTGATCAAAATACGCAAGTGTTCGCTGGAGCAAAGCTGTCGAGTGGCACAGAGCCTTGTCTCAGCGGCCTTGCCATCGCTATCGTTCACTCGCCTGCCAAGGGCAGGACATTATATTCAATCGGCGATGGTGGGCACACATACGTACCGACACTGTCTCTGCTCTGATGAAACCCTTTTCGAAATCGGTGTGGATGACACCGGCTGCCTGGGGAGCAGTCATCCCGCTGGTGATGGTCCAAGCTCGCGTCTCCTTTTCACCTGGCAGGCGCAGAACACCGATCAGCATCTAACAACAGAAGAGCAACGCAATAGAGCAAACATTCAAGAGCCAGCCGGATTCACTGCTCTCGCCTTTACACTGACCATGATTGGACATGCTGTTGGGAGAAACTGGGGCGCAGTCACTCCCTGAACACCCCCTGCTGATCCACATGGTGTTCTTCTTTTGGACCCGGGCGCCAAACTTGCTGTGCCACTCACCGAATTGGGGGACGGCGGAGTGTGGTAATGTAAGGTAAATTTGAGCAAGGACGATACGGGCGGGGTGCACCCAGTTGGTGGAACACAGATGCACTCATGTCGGAGAACGAGATATATGTTGACGAGTGCACATTGAAGCAACAGGCAATACCTGAAGTGAAGTATGTCCGCACGCCAAGGATGTTGTACACAGCCCGCACAAGACTGTCCAGACCACTCTCCTTTGCGCCTAGGGAAGTCAAAAACTCCACAGCCTCTTCTCTCCCAAGTTCATTGAGTTCTGCCTCGACTTGAGCGGACACAACAACGACACCTGCGTCTTCTTTGGCAGCCAAGCGCTTGAGTTCCTATTCCGAGACACACTCATCAAGATACTGTTGCTGCATCAATCACTACGCACTTCAAATGCAGAAACATCTCGCATTATCCCCCAAAACTTCTGGTTCCAGATCGTCACTGGCCTCAGACAAAGGGGCACTATGCTGCCGACCATGAGGTCCACCACACAATACAGCCTTCCACGTGCATGTGTTCCCATCGTCATTCAGCACATCTCCAGTGGAATACAGCAGCCTCCCTACTGGTCACGCAAGGCAATAGCAGCAACTGCATCAGGTGATCTACAAATAGTTCACTCACTGTGTGACCTGCTGCCACAATATAGAACCATAACCACATCTAAAACATAACACCCAACACACCTGCACATGTACATTGTTGGCCCCTTCGTTTGCCAGATCAGACTCGTTTACATTGGCAGCAAAAATGACAGGCTTCATTGTCAGTAGACACAAGTGCTTAATAGCGTCCTGTTCATCTGCTGATAGATCCGCGGATCGTGCTGGATCCCCATTCTCAAGTGCCTTTTGCACTTTCAACAGAGTGGATTCTTCTAAGGCCGCTTGTGCCGCCTCCACTCCTGACTTGTTCTTACCTACAAGGGCAGGAATTAGCATAGTCGCTGAGCCAGACAAAGAGCTATGCCCTCATTCTGCCACCCACAGCTGGTAATCTTTGTCAGGCATTGGAACATGACCAAAACATGGTGGACAACAGTCCATCGTGTGGACTCGCAGGCTCTGGAGCGCATTTTCACCAGGATATCAAAGTATATCTCTTCATTTCTTGGACTCTCCACAATTGGGGAGAGTGTGCAAACAGGAAAAAATTTGGTGAAGCAGTCATTGCTGGAGGAATGACATATATAATCGCATGAGGGACGTGCAAGGGCAGTCTTTGCCATACCATGACACCTGCTGCCAAACAAATTGTTTTTCTCAACAAACAAAGCATATGTGTGGCCCTTGGCATGGGTCCAACACTTGAAGACACGAGATATCCAGGCTCACTGTGCGTTTTCTCCACAGAACCGAAGGCTGTAAGCCACAAGCATATATTGGCAGTTAGGAATCCAGGCAACAGATCATGGGAGGCAACTGCTAAGTACTCTGACGTGGGCACTATGACCGGCTTCCAACCCACTTTTCTGCAGCCGCTCTAATCTTCGCTCCACTTGTGCGATGTCCGAAAAAATCAATTCGAAGCTTATGACTTCTGTGTCCGATGCAGGATCCACCTTGCCATCAACATGTACAACGTTTTCATCACTGAAGCACCTCACAACATGAACGATGGCATCCACCTCCCGGATGTGGCCAAGAAATTTGTTTCCAAGCCCCTCACCCTTACTGGCACCCTTCACCAATCCAGCAATGTCCACAAATTCCACGGTGGTTGGGACCTGCATGGGCAACCAATTCGCAGGTCAGCACGTGCATGTGCATTGTCTTGCACAATGCCTGGTGATTCATTCGTGCCACTCTGTAGGTGCTCTGGTGTTTCCCGATACGGTAGAGCGATGTGAACATAGTGGTCTCATCATGGCTTTATCTGGTTCAAATAGGGTCATTGTTGTTGGATATAGTTAGTTTGCTTCAGAGGCAAAGCAACTGGAGCGGGCAAGCAAACAAGTCTACAACAGAGTCTTCTTCTCAACAATACATACAACAAACCTTACACAAAAATCTTCACGGTTTACTGCTGTGGGACAATGCCACTTAGCAGCCCAAACTCCAGGATTCTCTGCAATTTGAACAACCAAAACCCATATTCCAATGTTTTGAGACAACATCTGGCTACCATGACAAATGGCAACATTGTGACTGATTAAACGAGCACAAAGGGGGTGTGTTGGAGGAAGGTATGCAGCAACACCTTGCAGAAGATTTGGTTGACTAATGCCCTTGAAACCAATGGCTAATCGTCAAAATCAATGCTCACCACATTTGCAGACTTAGACAGTGTTCCCAGTGTCTGAAGACGAGCATCTGGCACACTGACCACACCAACATTTGGTTCAATGGTGCAGAAAGGGAAATTAGCAGCTTCTGCCTTCCCACCCTCAACCATGGCATTGAAAAGAGTGGACTGCAAAGAAAACAGTCAACAGTGTCAATGTGCATCAAATGTCGCTGCATACAGTGTCTCTCAGCAGTGTCAATGGGGAAAGAATTTTACAGCTGGTGCCCACTCCATCATCGTGAAAGCCATTAATACAATCTGAGTGGAAGACATTTCCTGCCCACCAAACAATAGTGTGCTGTATGGTGCAATAATTGAGGGCCTTCACAAGCTTTCCACCAAGACACTCTTGGGCTGCTGTCAGGAAATGCCAATACCTCTTCAATGCTTACTTCTGGTAAACAGTATCCATCTATGCATGATGTGTTTGCTGAACGAGCGATGTTAAATGGTCTTTCAGCCCAAACAAAGATGGACACTGTCAACCCAGAACATGGTAGGTGCAGCAAGAATGTGTGGCTGCAGCATTGCATCAGCCTATTGTGAAGAACATGTGCAATGGAAAGATGTTCTATGGTGGCATGGTGGCATGTGTCACACACACCTTCCCCACGTTTGGGAGCCCCACAATCCCTGTGCGCAGACCCATGCAAACAGTGCTGGACCTGTGGCAAAAGCACAAAGAACACATGTGCCGTCTGCATCATATCGAACAACCTTTGCCAGCAGCTGTCTGATCCCACTTCAGCTCCCCGAGAATCCGTTGCTTTGCTTTCTCTCTACACACTGAGCCCGAAATCTTGCAGCCAAAATTTGCGTCGCCGGAGAGACAGTGCCTTGGGATTGAGCACAAATGTGAATGTCACGATCAACGTTGTGCAGCTGGACGGCCATCCGCGCCTGGCTGTTTGCCAGTGCAGCTGAAAATAGAAATCACGGATTTACCATTTGCGAGCAGCAATCACAACTTTAGCCATACCAGTCCCGTGCAAATGGCAAGTCCCCATCCACCCACACCTGAACCCTCTGGATTGACGGGGGCCAATCGCGCCACCAGGGACGCACAAAAACGATGCGTTCCGTGGCGCTCCCGTCCCCCATTGCTTGCCCTCCCAAAAACCGGGCACCATCAGACGAAGCGATCCAAGTGATTGGCCGACGGCGACGCCTTGGCTGGGCATCGCGCCGCAGTACGTTCGCTTGCCAGGGAGCACGAGCCAAAGCACCTCGGGCGCCCTGACGCCGATGGGGACTCTAAACATTGCGCGACTTCAGGCAGTGCGGACGCGACTGAGCAATGTTTAAGCCACACGCGCCCGGGCGGCACTCCAGCCGAGCGCTGGCGAGTCCCCTCGACAGGTGCACAGGGCTGTATGTGGCCCAGGAGAATGACGCGGCCTCAGAAGTCCTGCAGTGCTGGTCATTCTCACGCCGCTAAAGCACGGTGAGTGTGTCTGACCTTCGTTCATGCGATCAGAGTACACGGCGGCTTGGTTGCGCTGATGAGTGGGCATTAGCGATGCCTGGCGAGCAAACGCGGCAGCAATTTGATCTGACGGCGCCCGTGCTTGTGGAGCAGGTAGGCCCAAGGGCTGCCAGGAACTTTGGATCAGTCCGCAATGGCAACGCGCCAAAGGGTAATATTTGTTAAGGAGAAAGAGAAACGGGTCATACCAGCGGCAACCCCTCCCAAGCAGGCTTGGCAGCGCGCCAAGGGGAGTCAATGCCTTGAGTCCGGACTATGTTGATGGCAAAGTGTGTCTGAATGTTGGTGCGGCACCCTGTTCTTATAAACAGGCGGAAATGATATGCACACCTGCCAATCCCCTTGATGATGGCAATTTGGTTGGTGATGGTAATTTTCAATGGCGACACCGAAAATGTTACGAGTTTACGAGGCCAAACTTTTCCTGTCGTCTGTCCATGCAATGAACGAATATGCGTTCCTCAAGTTGAGCAATGCAAAAACTGATTCCATTGTGTCCATAAACGCAGAAAGACATCTGGTATCCTGACTCAAGGCGATCTGCGCAACCATGATAGTAGAAACGAGCGGTCGAATATGGGCCCACCCATTTTGCAGCAGCCGCCAAATGCATCTGCCACAATCATTGTGGCACACCGCAGCTGCAAATAGCCTGCCAGAGGTTGCATTCGGGGCGGAACGCCAGCAGCCAGAATATGTTCTGCCTTTTGGTGCATCTTGGCAAATCCTCGCTCGTAGACCGCTACACCTGCTCGCCATAAGCTGGCGGTGATTTGATCTTGTGAAGGCATGCGCCTGGCAGGCACAAAAATACAAGCGACAAAACTGTCTTGCGACAGACCACATTAATGCATACAATAATCTACAACATTTCAAATCCGCAAAATACCCCCCTCACTTATCCTACTGAACAAAGTGGCCAAGAACGCCCGCATCTGTTGGGAAAGGTTTTCCCACAGATATTGCTTTCCGATGATCCTGTGACAATTGTACATGCTGGCGCCACAATCACCAAAGAGGCGTCCCATAGACACATAGCCCAGCTCGCATGCTGCGTGTCCTATCTGCTGGGACACTTGCATTTCCGGCCTTTGAATACGATCTCGCCTTCCCAAATGAGGGGGCTCTCCTGCACCTTCCGCCAGAAGCACTTCTCTTCGATTCTGCGCAAGCAGAGACGAACTTCAAAGTGAACATGAAGCATCATTTGTCGCCCTCCTGTGGTCTATCACGACCCATGGTTGGCTAAATGAAAGAGGCTAGCGTCGCGCAACACAATCGTGAAGCAGGCATACACAGACGCTTCGTGAACAAATAGCTGAGGATTGCCTCTAAGCGGCTTTTTTGCAACAATGCAGTCCCTCGTGCAACACGTGGAGCGCTGCCGCCGTGCATTTCATGACGCACCTGGAGGAATTGAGGCACCTGCATTTGTCGGAATGACCATCGTATTTGTCGCAGCATTCAATCTTCGCGATGCCAGTGCAGTCTTGTGGCCTGCTGTCAGGGCATTGACATATGTTTCCTTTGTGGGATGAGAATCCTAGAATATCCTGCCACACAGGAGGATCCTCGCCGACTTTCTTGAAGCGGCAACTTCCGAAGCCCCTGGGGAGTTGATGCACTTGTTAGTCATTTTATTTCGGATTGTGTGGGCAATGCGATTCCAACATTATTTGGTTTTCGAATTAAGAGTGATCATCGCCCTGGCAGGACGGATGCTCCTTTACACCCCCTGAAATGTGTAATGGCTGAGTAGCAGCGCACAGCTGAAGAGTTTCGCACAAAATGAGCATTTGATTACCTCAACAAGGAATATCGCGCAGCACCTTCAGACAGCGTCCGTTTATGGCCCAATTGCTTTGTGCCTCAATAGTTTGTTTTCTCTAAAATGAATCGTGCAGTGGTTTGAATGAATTCCGGTTCTGTCACAATTGGATCTACCAACACCATTCACATCCCATTACCTCCTCTTGTAAGATTCTGTGCACCCGCAGAAAGTACCTTCATCGGTATGGACAAAGTCCTGGAAACATCCACATAATCCATGTCAAACACCTTTAACTCTTCTGCCGACAGCTAGATTATCGCACAACCATTTGGGCAGCAGCTGCTAAGAACTGACCTGAACATTGCAGCATCGGTGCGCAGCCAATCCGGAGCACAGGGAAAGATCCTGATCCCGGTCCCTGCCCCCTAAAAACTGCTCCAACACCTCGTTGACATCAGAAACGTTCGCGGTTGTCGAGCCATACTGGGTCACAACAACTACTTTATGCTTCTTTGAGGCTGGCTCGTGGCCGATGCTTGGTTGTGTTGGCTCTGACTCTCGCTCAATAGAAGATGGATGGTCGTCAATGGGCGCTTCGGGCTGGCTGGCGTCGACTCTTCGCGGTGGACTTGGAGCTTTTCCTGGATTGGTTTTCTCCTCTGTCTCAGCAGCAGATGGAATGTCGGCAGCAGAGGCCTCGACAGACTCTTTTGGATCTATTTCGTCCTGGGGCTTGGGCGTGACAAATGGTGGAGGTGGTGGCGGTGCAGACAGGGTTGGTGGGTGATTGAAGATCGTTGGCTCAGCCGTCACATCTTCCTCTCCATCGACCAGTCGCACTGGAAAATCAACGCGTATACAGATGTTATGCATTCGCTTCGCCAGGTAGTCCTCAGACCGTTCTGCGGCTACAACGATGCAGTACATATGGCAAAAGACGCGAGCAGAACTGGCATGCTGCCGATCAACGGATTGAATGGAAACGCGAACTCCTGCCATTTGTGCGTTCATTATCCATCCTATCATTTCAGAGCACGTCACTTGGTAATTTGGCACAGCGCAGGAAATGGCCATGTCAACACCAGGGCCTGGCGGCCTGCAGTCCAGCCTCTGAGCGCAGGTTTGCAGTGGCCTGCACAGCATGCCACAAGTCTCGCCCACGGCCCCGAGAAAATGCCCCGGTTTAACGCATGGTGAGTGACTGATACCCGAATTTCAACAGCCCGACGCTGTTCGAACGCGACCTGAAAAATGTGGGACACGGGCACCTCGCTCAGCCAACGCACCTGATTCGCCATCTGCCGTGGCGGACCCTTCCCCGAACACACCCCCGCCCGGTCCGGCGACGGCCCTGGATGACGCCGACGCGCTGCGCTGTCCAACGGCCACGGATGACGCGCTCGCGGTGAGTAACCCTTCATCCCTGTGGATGCTGACCCGGCGGAACGGTGGGCGTCGGCTGCTGCCTGGAGGAAAGGCAACAATGTACTGTCAACCCAAGTACTGCAGGCAGCCGCCCACCGCGACGCGCGTCCTCCCGCGCGGCGTTTCGCGTCTTCCAGCGGCCTCCTGTTCGCCGCAGCCCCGCCCACGGAGGCAAACACACAGCCTGCCCCCGCAGCGCCCCGGCATCTGCTCCTCTCCGCCGTGCGGTACTTTGAAGATGGAAAGATGCGGACCGCGAAGAATGGCATTTGGCAGCGTTGGGCGTCCGCGGGCTGAGGCCGCCGGCCACGAAGGCCGCCTCTCGAGAAAGAACAGCCCCCGCGAGGCGCCGCTGCCGAAACGATCGCTCAGTGGCCGTCGGCAGAGAGCGGCGGTGGTGTCATTGCGAGCTTGCAAGCAAATGCAGCACCGGCAGCGACGAACAGAGCGCCCTTGGGCATCCGGAATGGACAGCTGAAATCTGCGAGCTCCACGCAGTTTAAAGGCCATGAACTGGGCGCGGCGCTCTCCTAGCGCCGGTCGAATAGTTTTGACTTGTGCGCACATCTATTCCTACAGCGATTCCCACCGTCTCCCCGCACAGACACAATTGACGTCCGGAGGGCCATGGCAACCGGGGTGCGACCTTACCTTGAGCATTGGCGACCGCGCAGTGCCCCATGACGCACATCAAAAGGCAAAACCAAGCCGCCGCCGCGCGCCAACCCATCCGTACTCTTCCTTCCGTGGGAGGACAGGATGTTGTGCAGTCCCCTCCGCTCCCTCGCCAGCAACGACCCGACGCCGACGGGATGCAACCAGCTGATGCAGCTGTTGATGCAGGCACGCTCCCTGGGATGCGGACTGGCAGCAGAGCCACCGCACTCGAGAGCCTCCAGCGCAGAGAGGGGAGGGCACGGCTGGAGAGGCAGGGCGCAGGGGCGGCGAGGAACCAGCGGGGGTTCCAGCAACCTGGGATTTACCCGTGCGCGGATTTTGGTGTTCCCAGTCAGTCTCGCCGCCGATTGCTCACCTGCGGTTGGGATGTTCGGGCAAATGGCATGCGTGACCGAGTATGAACATCTGGGGCAAATTCGGCGGCGCGGCTTCCCCAAAGGGGCGACGGCTCTGGGTCCCCCCGCGCCGCGTCCCATCTCCACGCCCAATTGGCGCGCCGTCTTCGCCGCAGCCCCTCTCCATTTCCACGGTGAATTTGCAAGAAGAATTTCGCAGCGATCGTCCTCCGGTTCTGTGCTCCCTGGCGGTCGTCCGGCGTGTACTGCGTCGTGCTCCGCTCGTCGCTCTGAACTCAAGTGGCGGTGCATGTGCATACTGCAAGCACAAGTCGGCAACAAGCAACAACAGCAGCCGGATGTCTCAGGCTACGTGAATCCGCATCAACTGCACCTGGTGCGGATGTGGAAGCAAAAGTGCAACCGGGTTCCAGAACGTTGTTCAGGTTGCGTGCATGCCGGGTACACTCAAAGCAGAAGGAACTGATAACAGCAGAGTGGGGCCGAAACTAAAGGTCCAGATATGGCGGGAGCGACAACGTTCCGCATATTTTGGATGTGTCAAAATGTAAGCAATAATCGAACATCGAATCCACATTACCACAACTATGACAGGATTCGGCGAATTGCGCAAGGACCTGCAATTTGGCTATGTTGGTGAGATTTGGACGCAGGTTGGCTATGTACGTCTGTTGTCAAACAAAACGCCAGTCAGGCTTGTGGCTGGAAAACGGGGCAAGGCGAAATACCTTTATAAAATAGTTGTACTTCACAGGGTTGCAAAAGAAGTTCGCATCGGAATGCACCGGAGCAATCTTGGTGCAGGTTTGCAGCTCATGGCAGTTCGAAAGTGCTTCATCTGGCGGAGCTTGAACTCAAAATATCTTATATGACGAAGCCAATGAAAGCTCTGAGCAAACTGAGGCTTTCTTTGAGCACCCCAGGTTGTAGTCAGTGTCAGATCCAGCACCATACGAGCATACTCTCACAAAAGCAACTGTCCATAACGCTTCATGCTACCAAATGCAATGGCAGCCAAGGACAGAACATCCCCAATCTCATGATCATTTTATCAACATCATCTAATCATTAGTAAACAGCCATCTCACCATGAAACATGTTTTGCATTATATTCTTTTTTATCACTAAACCACAGTCATTTCGCTCCTTATACGCATACCAAACAAGTCCCTCAATTTGCTTTAAATTCTTGCCAGGAAATTCTTGCACAGTATCCGGTGTGAAAACCTTCAAACCGAGTCAAGGATCAAATTAATCAGTCGACTAGGCAAAGAGGATGGGATAAGCACACGGTTACCAGATAATGATGACTATGAATCAGTTCACAGGACACTGCTCAGGCAGATGCCTGATTGAATGTCTAATCACTGCAGCCAGACGTCAAGTTATCTGGTCCGACGTCTCGACGGCCGCCCGTGGCTACAAAATGCCAAATGCACAGAACTGATGAAGAAAAGAGTTATTCTCGAAAACTTGATGATTTTGATTCCGGATCATTTCTGACTCATTATAGTAATATTTCATGTCTTTCTCCGAGTTTTGCCTTTTGCTTGGGGATCCAGTACGTCTATATTCCTTCCAGGACATCTATTTACCTTCTTTGCCCATTATTTCATTAAGGACCGCCGAGTCAAGTAAGGATATACCCTGAGGATTTCCCACAGCATTGCGATGCAAGCAATTGCTTGACTGCCGTTGCAGCACATCTGCGGTGGTGTAATGCATGTCTACCGCAGAGTTAATCCCATAGGAAATCGATGCTACATCAATTTCACTTACTTGCAATCTTACCACTGCGAAGTCTTGCTCCTACAATGTTCAAATCTGTTGTTGGGACATGTGTTAAGAGTCAGCGAATCTTCCGAGGATAGCGTGGTCACCAGGGAGCATTACCTACCAGAAAGAGATCTGGTTAGGGTGTAACTGATGCCATGTGCCTAATCGGCGGCTCACTGATTTTGTGAAGTGGCCAGATTTGACAACAGGGCAGCCAGCGACATGGATTCTTTAAAGCGATGTGGCCGACAACTTCGACAAGTTGAAGCAGGGCGTTTTGAAATCATAAACTTTCACGCGAGTTGCTTGTGGCGGTGAGGGCGGCGATCAGCTTAGACAAACGCAAATGGCCACAAAGCTCTCCGTGATTAAAGATGCGCGGCTCTGGGTACGCTTCTTTCCATTTACGCCCTCCTGGCCGCGCCTTGGGCGCCAAATTTCTCAGCCCGTGCGCGCATTGGCGCTAGAGCAGCCTTGGTGCTTTGCACGGTGGTTGGTCACTTGGTGGGAGCGTTGAGGTGATATGCAGGTGCACCACCTGAGGCTGGTGACCGTCCTGTGGGCGCTGAATCTCGTGCGTATGGGTCACAGGGACCGGCCACGATCTGTCAATTTCCTCCAAGGTGCGCTTCTCACCCGCAGGCGGCCCTTGGGGCCGCCGTCGCCGTGGCCGGTGAATAATTGAACGACCGCCGCCAGGCGGACGCCAGTTGGTGGATTGATCAAAGTCCTGGCCTGTGGGGCGCACGGCAGGACAGTCCTTGTCCCAGTGGCTGTGAACTGCCCTCCGCGCGGTGGAACCTGGGGCCAACCTCTACCTCCGCGGTCATCGTGTGGAGGGCGATCCAACGCCAGCGTAGGGGCGCAGCTGCGCGATGGCAGGCGAGCGTTGGGCGCCGAGCTCATCGCCGAGCTGAGGTTCATCGCTGAGAAATTGCACTGGATTTCTGAAAACATTGGCTTCAAATCATATCACACAATCTCACGACCTCGCACTGACTGTCGGAACAAATGCAAAATTTGAACCTGTGAAATCATCAAGGGTGAGATATGTGCAGTAAACATCTAGTGCACATTTTGCGCCCTTATTGACTTCAAAGGTATCAGTGCTGGAGATATTGGAACTATTCCCTCATATCGATGTGAGTAATATCGTTCACGCCCTCCTCCAAGGTTGCACCTGTCCACCCATCGCTGAGCCGCCATCTCAGGTGTTTTCTTTTTCAACACTGTGCAACAACACATGCGGTTCTTGCAGAAAGATAAACGTCATGCAACATGGAAACCCCTTGTGGCCGGGTCCCTGGGATCCCCTCGGCAATGGTGGGAAAACCCTGCGGCGCTTCATACTGGTTGTCAGCAACTTGCTGGAATCGCGGCCTCATTCCATATGAATCTCAAACCATGGCACGATCCCAACTTCCAGCCGTGCACAATGGCTGAGAGGCTGTTCTCCATCCTACGAAGTTGGGGAAATGGTTTGGCGAGCCCCATTTGAGTTTGCCGGAGAGAGCGCTCCCCCAAGGGAACAAAGGCCTCTCTTTGTGGTCGACAAGATTGAGCCTTACTCAATAAACTGGCCGCAGACGCGCAGCCAACGCAGAGTTTTCTGCCCGCATTCCTTGGACATTTCCATTTCCATCCTGTCGCGCCCGCGTTGCTCGCGGTTTTCCCTCACTTCGGGCACAATAGCCCGCAGCCAAACCCGCAGTTCCCCGCTGCCTTCCCAGCGCATCCCCTTCCTCCGCTATTCAGCGGTCCTTTCCCCCCTGCAGCCGCCCGGCCGGTCACAAGGAGGCTTCCTGCTGGGCCAGCGGCGCCGCAGCTGGGCCGCGTCCTCCATGGTCCTGTGGGCCGGTCGCGGGGCATCGCAATCGATCATCCCCACGACGAGCGTCCGCGCCCTTATGAGCGCTGCCAATGAGTCGCACCACTCGAGCGGCCCCCGCAAGGACCACAAGTCCGCGGTGTGCCTCATCCCCCCGAGGTGGCTGTGGGACGAGGTGCAGCAAGTGCGGTGCTTCAACGACCCGGCGTTCGTCCGCTGGCCGCCGCACATCAACCTGCTGTACCCGTTCTGGGAGGACTCGGGAGACAACTTTTCGGCGGCGGCGGAGAGGATCGCCGGCGCCCTGTCCGGACTGCGGCCCTTCGAGGTCGTGCTGAGCGACTTTCAGCACTTTCAGCACAGCAGGAGCTGCACAGCGTGGGTGGGGCCCGGCGAGGGGCGCGACGGCGTGCTGCGCCTGCAGGAGGCCCTGCGCCGCGAGTTTCCGTTGTGCGACGACTTGTCCGTCGACCGGACGCGCGGCATCACGAGCTTCGCGCCGCACCTGTCGCTGGGGCGATGGCGCAGCGCCGGCGACGTGAGGACGGCAGTGGGGGCCCTTAGGGGCACGATGGCCCCGGTGAAGTTCAGGGTTGAGGAGGTTGCGGTGATCTCCAGGGTCGGGTTTGAGACCCCGTTCGTGGTGCGGTATGCGGTCGGGCTGGGCGGGGCTGGGCCCGCTGGCCCAGTCAGCCGGGTGGATGTTCCCTATGTGCCAAGCCTCAGGATGGGGCAGGCCTACCTTGGCAGCGTGGGCCGGTCCAGGTTCGGCGTGGGCGCGCTGTCGGGCGGGATTTGGAATTTCGCTTACGGCGCCAATGTGAACCGCCACAAGCTGGAGGCCGTGAGGGGCATCAAGCCGCTGCGCTCCATGCCCGCCGTGCTGAAGGGATACCGCCTGGCGTTCAATCACCGGGGGGCCATGGGCAACGTGGTTCCCCTGCTGGAGGGCGAGGGCCCCATGGGAATGGACGGCGTGCACGGCGTCTTGCATTGCCTGAATCCCGCGGACTTCGCGACGCTGACCAACATGGAGAACGCCTACATGCCCCAGGAGGTCGACGTCCAGCCCTATGACGACTCTCGGGATCCAGTCCGCGCAGTTGTTTTCGTTTCCCCGTTGCAGCAGACCATACGGGAGGGCTTGCCGCCCCCAGAGCGATACGTGCGCCTCATCCTGGAGGGCTCGACGCAGTGGAGCTTGGACAGGCGCCATATTGCTTGGCTTCAGAGCCTCCCGACAGTAGCTTCAAGGTCCCGGGGCCCGGAATACTGGCAGACGACCAAGGTTGAGTCGTTGAACAGTTGGCCTGTGATGCGTGTTGGAGCGCAACCCCCTGGGCGAGGAAGGGGGAGGAGGACGGGGAGAGGGAGAGCAAGCCAGAGAGGGGAGCAAGGACACAGAAACCAAGGGCAAACTCGTTGACAGGGAAATTTGTAGCATAGTATAGGCTGGGGATCAGAGCGATGGGACCCGTACATGTGCACACATTGGCTCCCACCAATATTTCAATAAACCAACTATGAGCGAATGGCGAGTGTGAAAAGGCAGGTTGCAGCCACCCAAACACGTTTTGGTTTGGTTGCAACCTGAAAGCAATGCCTGGTTGTGCACAGGCAGCGCCATCAACTTTATGCATCAGAGTCAGCACCAGGAAATCGGGAGTCACAACCAATCATGACAGCGGAACTTCAGAGATTTGCATGCCAAACAAAGGGCCCATTCCAGCAGATGTCTATGCTGGTCATGCGTGCACTACAGCCGAACACTATCAGTCAGATGAAGAGAACTCATGCACAAAGGTTCTATGAACTCAACAATTCTCTTGCATCAATGGCATCGTTGCTGGGAGTGCATCCATTTGCAGTACGATCTGCACTAGGCGACCCAGTATCTTCTCAACAGCCTATAGGTGCACTGCTCCACATCCCTGTCCATGCCCGTTGGCACAGCTGCGCTCCCACAAGTCCGACAGGTATATGCAGCTTTCGCAGGCATCTGCACGCGCGGGGGAATGGACGTCACCTGAGCTCCCCTGGTGGTGCTGACCATGCCTTCTTGGAATGGTTGGCAGACTGCGGGATGTACAATGAATCAACAATCAGCTGTGCCACATATGACTCACTGGCACCGCAGGCTTTGTTGGCATTCATTCGTCAGTTGCCTGACTGCTTCCTTGCTTGCTTCTTTGTGCTTCATTGTTCCATGGGGGCGATTCCTTGCCGTAGCATCGCCTCTGGCAGCAGGCACCAGGACACTTTCGTCCTACCTGGGGCTGCCACGTACCTCACCGCTCACACTGCTGGGGTGTTGATACGGCGATTGCGCAGATACGATTCACAGGCGGGCATCTCGCTGCCCTTTGCCCTTGCTGCTGAGGGACGCAGTCAGGACTCCCAAAACCAAACCCAAGGCGGAGACACTCCAAACACCAGTCACACAGTTCCCTACGCTCCAGCGAATGGAACCGCCATCAGCCCCAACGCTAGTACCACCACGGCCACTACCACAGGCACGTAGTACAGGTACTGATTTTGAGCGTGCCCTCCCCAACCAGTGCCCCCAGCCCCTTGGCCTCCGCCTCCTCTCGCACCATCCGCCATCCCTAAGCCTTGCCCGGCAGCTTTTCCTGCCCCCTGCTGCTTCCCTTCCCTTCCCCGACCCCCCCCCCCGGCCCCGCCCCCCACCCCCTCCTCGCGGCCCTCCTTTTCCCGCCGCTTGTGCTCTTCCACCCAGCTGGGGTACAGCCTGCGAAAAGTTGCGTTTTTGGCGTTGAATGCCAGCGAACTCTGCGCCATCGCCCGCTTGTGCGCGCTGGTGGTTGAGATGCTGCCCGTGGTGGGTGCACCGTCGTCGTGCATGAAAGAAAGTAGCCCCGTCAGTATGGATCCCACGCTCCACATAGGATTCCAGCTCTCTGGATGAAAATCGGTCATGGACAGACACAGCTTCTGGTTGGTGGCAAACCGCCCGTTGGGCGTGAACATAACGATCGAGGGCGGCTTGTAGGGGTACTGCCGGGGGAACACCACCTTGCCGTGGTACACGCCCCCCTGGTAGTCGGAGCCGTGCGCGCCCTGAAGCACGTAGTGCCACTCCAGCAGGTTGGTTTGCAGGGGATGCGCCTCTACGCTGGGGACGGGGTCCTTCAGCAGAACGCGGTACTCGCGCTGCAAGCGGATGAGGCAGCTCTTGTCCACCGCCATGCCCGCGGGGGACGCGAATCGCGGAGAAGCACGACAGGGCCTGGCCGTTTTCCGGTGCCTCAGCCCGGTGATCAATTTTGGCCTCCGTGGATAATCCGTTGTTTTGTTCTTCGATGCTCCGGCCCGTGGGCATCCAGGCGTTCCCGATACCGAACGCTGATACGGAGACGGGGACGCAGACCCTGTACATACACACCCTAAGAGCAGACGCCCAATCGTGACCCATCTCCGTCTGCGTCTGCGCATCAGCGGTCGGTATCGCGAACAGTACCATGGACATGGGCGATGTGCCCTCATCATCATGACGATCATCGTCATGATGGGCATGCACTTTCATCATCAAGAATTCAAGAATCTGTGCCCTGTGGGGACACTTTCCCGGGAAAGGATCGTCGGAGGTCTGGCGTCGTTCGGCCCTGGTCTGCGTGATGGCTGCAGCAAACTAGGATCCAGCCACCAGTTTCTGGCATCCTAGGCGCTGCGAAAGGCAGAGGGCCTTGAATGAAACAGGGTTGTCTGGGTGGATTGGATGAATGTTGTTTTGACGACGACGTTTGTGCACTTACGAGCCGCCTGTAGAGAAGGTCGAGGAGCGGACCAGAGATCGGCACAAGGATAGTCGTGCAGAAGCTACAGGGCCCTTTGCGCCAGGCGCAAGGTGAATGCGAGCCTGTTGGGTACTGTTTTGACAACAACAGTTTCAAAACGTGTTCCCTCGCTTTAGGTGTTCGCAGCATGTCATGGAGATGGCTGGAGACCCACGTAGCGCTCTGGGCAAAGCCTTGCCATAGAGCAGCCAGAAATGTGCAGCCATGTGAGCGCCAGGACTTCACCGAGCGTCATGCGTCCGCCTTTGTTCGTAGCATGGGCACCAGCTTTGCTAGCACCTGCATTTCAACGGGTTCACAGCGGAGTGGCGGCAAATCAGGGCCAAAAGCATCCATATCAGAGCCTCCCCAGTACTGCATACAGTACATGTACATACATGCCATGCGGCATGCCATTCCGGTCAAGGGACTCTTCTCATCCCATCTTGCCTTGAGCTTACTCAGGCCCAAGCCCCCTACCTCCTTTGTGCCAGTCGTTATGTGAGCAGGGACTTATGCGCATTTATACTATAGGCACATCTATCCCATAAATGGGCACGTATATACGTGCCATATGTGTCGATGCCGGCGAGAATCATTACCTAATTGCAGGACGTAGATTTGCGGCATAGAGGAGAGAGGGCCTGCACGTCACATGAATGGTGAATATAGTTTTCAAGGAAGGCGAATACATGCACTGTATATAGTGCTGAGCAGGCTTGGTTTTTACGCCGTAAAAACTGATCGTATTCACGTGTTTACGCGTAAAAATGCGTAATAATACGTAAATACAACGTAAAAACTGCCCGGTGTACATAAGGACAGTACATACAGACTTACGGACTCAGGAGAGTGGCAGCCAGACGACCTGGAAGGGGCAGAAAACGAGTTTTTGTTAAACACCATCATCGCCCTTGCCAAGGGCGAGGCGGACACTATGTTGGAGGTGCTGGATATGGCGGAGGACTGATCATTGTACGCAACTTTCATCGTGTAATCTGGGCGTTTCAGGCAGCCGCAAAAACGTGAAAATAGCCGTAAAAATAGCCCTTTTGCAAATTTACGTTTTTACGCGTAAAAACGTAAAAGTAAAAACGTCAACGTAAACGTAAAAACCAAGCCTGGTGCTGAGGGTTTCCAAGGTGGATGCTTTAAAGCTCAAATTTGAGCTGTGTTAAGTGATAGAGGCGTCAAGTGAGACATGGGTGGGTGGGTAGGTGGATTGGGGTTTGGGGTGGTGGGGTAAGATTGAAGGCTTGAAGGAAGTTTCCGATGAAGTTACAACTTGTCACAAATTATAATTGGTCCGCTGATCAGCGACGTCTTGGTTTTGTTATTGGCTCTTTCGATTCTTGCGACGACTACATAACTTTCTAGTACCACATATATAAACCCTTTTCTCCCATGGCGTCAATTGGACACAAAATATGCTGAAGTAAACATGGCGTCGTCCCTTCATAGTTTCATTGCATAGGTAAACCCCAACACGCAGCACACTCCTGCCACGTTTAATGTTAAGCATGACAGAATTGACCCAGTAAACTACCCAAATACAGAGTCCATGAGTCACGAATCGTAACGCGTCTTGGCTACATCCTTGATTTGGAATATTCATTGCAGGGAAATGAATCGAATTCACTCCTCACAATGACCATCGTTCTGTGGGTGGACCAATTGCGTACTTAGATGGAAGACGGGTATTTACCGTGGCCCCAGAGTGATCAGTGTGGAAAATGTTCAGGAAGATAAAGCAATGAGCTCATGTTTCAGAATGCTTTTGCAGTACACCTGTTGTATTCTTTAAAATACTCTTTGCTCAACATTGGTCCATTTTCCGAGAGCACTGGTCCTTGCCGTGAGACCAATTCTCTAGGATGTGCAACCTTATAGGTAGCAAGGGCTGCAATTACAGTTTGGATTTCAACTGTTTTGTTTGCTCTTTTCGGCGCCAGGACTTCCAATTCGTTTATTCAAGGAGATTCTTTCAGCTGTCTTGTTGGAGACGATCGGCAATCCATTCACCCAGTCGAGGAATATTTCTGCACCAAGTAGCTATGTAACACAACGGGCATCGATGCCATGAATGCCGCCATTGTGGAATTCCAAATGAGCAGTGCCCTTCAGATTTCAGCTTCCGCCTCCGTGCCCGTGGTCATAGATTGCCAGTGAGAACAGTAGGGTAAGGCAAAGGTGCCCATGTGGCACCCTTCCCGCGCCAGCATTTCCTCTCATCCTCCATTTCGCATATAAGGGCAGTATATCGTAAATCAATCCACGTGTGCATGGTTGCCTTGCCCCAATGTTCACACTAACAATCTTTAACCATCTCTCGGAAGTGTGCTATTGTCCGCGCCAGCAAAACCCGCAAAGTGGGCAAAAGCTACTCCATTGCCACATCCACGTCACCCACCAGTATGCCCTTGCCGACTTTCTTCCTTGCCGCGAATGGGGCGCTGTCAAAACCATCAATCTGTGCGCCAGTCCTGGCAACCAGTCGAT